ACTTCAAGGTTGTGTCAGTGGTCAGAGAAAATTTTTTACGTAACACATTCTGTAAAAGAGAACTGTGTTTCTTTTAATTTCCCATCCAAATGAGAGACTCCAGCTCAAGTAAAAAAAAAAATCTTACTTTCTTTCTTATAGTCCTGTTCAAAAAAATAGGATGTATTTGGAACAATTACTCAGGGAAAAGGGAAAATTCCCCAAACCTGAAGGTAGGATGAGTCTAAGTTTCATTTTGAGTACAAAACAGAATCTGCAAGTCACGCCTTCCCGGTGATGCACAGGTGGAGTTGTTCATCGGCGGCACTGATGCAATGAGAAACCGAGGCCCCGCCCCGTTAGGCTGTAACTTGAAAGGGACAGTCCGGTTTCTGACCTTTATGGAGCCTCTCCAGGGGCTGCCATACCCCGTCCCATGGCGCCATCTGTGCACCCACAGTACATGGTATTTTATTTTACAGTTAGTCTTCTTCTTGTGTCTTCCACACTCCCTTTTTTTCATCACACTCCAGCCGTAGGAGCTTCTTTTCTATACCTCGCACAAGAACACGCCAAGCTCCTCCTTTTATTTTAGAAAGGACTCACAGACAGGGACAACAGCGTGATGATTGCTGGCGGGAGGGGAGAGATAAGGGGACTAAATGGTAATGGAAAAAAGGTACAATAAAGATTAAGTTTTTAAAAAGAGTTGTAAAGGAAAACTGGCCAAATGACTCAAATAAGGCCTACCTTGTAGTCAGACACCATAATGCAGAACGTAGCCCTCAGCCTTCTTGAGTCAATCAGGAAACAAACCTTTCAAGAGGTATGTTTATAATAGAGCACAGGACTGGGATTTGGAGCCCTGACACTAACCCCAGCCTTGGGTGGCCATTAATAACTATCTGTGTGATCTAAGGTAAACCGCCTCCCTTTTATGAGCCATGGTTTCCTCCCCTTAAAATTAGGGGTTGGGACTGAGCAACCTCCCAGATCTGTGGTTCTTGAGCAATCAGTGCCATGCATTTACCTGTGAGCTTTACCTAGGGCCTGGGTGGGTCACCTGAGACACTTCCTCCTGCCGCGGAGTCAACTCTGGAGATGAAATGAAAGCTCAAAAGGGAGCTTGATGAGCACAACATGTAGAGCACAAGGAGCTAAACATTGTCAAGGACTATTTCTGCTAGGCTGTGAGAAGTAACAGGATGGATTCTGCTCAGAATTCTTTCGTGCCCAGAGAGAGGATTTGTATTGAAAGACCAGGACACAAAACCTGCATCCAAAGCCCTCCATCCTTCCTGTAATGGGGAACATGAGCCTACAATGTTGCTGCTTTGGCTTTTCTTTTTCTTCAACCTTTTATCTCCATCCAGTGTTTAGGTCCCAACGATTAGATTTCAACTGCATTTAATGTAATCATACCCATCTTCCAATAAAGACTTTTTTGCATTTTTATTCATTTATTTGAGCCAAACTGATGACATGCGCTGGGGAGCAAGGTCTCAGATGCTCCTGTAAAAGATATTGATATGAATATCAGAACCATATTTTCCTAACTATAAACAATCTTACAAAGGGATCGTTTTTATAAAAATATTCTGAAAGAATGTTTGAAATCGAGGCTATCCTGAAATCATACATTTGGTCAAAGATCCTTTTGAAGTGCAAAGCAGACCAATGGGTTTTAAAGGAACAGGGTGTAGTACATCGGTATGGTGTTAGACTCCAGCAGACCTCTAAGAAACTGCCCTTTGTTGAGTTCCAATGTAATATCCGAGAAAAGTAGCCCCACTTATCTAAAGGGCCATTAAAATATTCCTCCCTTTTTAAATAGATACATGTGTGTCAGGCCAGAATTTTTTCTATATACTTCAACCAAAATGATAGATTGCCATAGATTGAACGCAGAAGCAGGCATGAGACACCACCTGGGTTAAGGTAGATGTCAGAGATCTACAAAAAAATGTAAAACAGTGCTACTCCTCTAATTTTTTTTTACTTTATAATACCCTCACAGAAAGTTATTTAGGTTAGCGTATGCTTCTATTTATCATGAAGTGAGTTGATTGATTTTTAAAAGTTGTTTTAATTTTTAATGTGGAAAAATATTGAGAGATATAACCCGCATAAAGAACTCTTGAAATTCTACCCAAAAGCTCGGGATCCGGGGCCTTGGAGTGAGGAGCTCCCGTGACGGGCTGAACCTCTTCGAAGGGTTCGGTCAGCTCTGCCGTGTCTCCCCTTCAAGGAGAAAAGGGCAAGGGAAGACCCCCCAGACATCCGGGCAGAGCCCCCTACAGGGAAGACAGAAGCCAGGACGTTCTTCTGAGAAAAGGGAGCTGGACCACAACCGAGGAGCAGGAAGGAGAAAGTCCAAAACAGTCACAACAATGTCATCCTCCGAGATAAACGACCCTGCACCCACAAAGTAAGAACAGAAACATCTAAAGAGCTTACTTAAAAAAAACCACTTTGACATGAAAAAGAAGACACTAAAAATGAAAGAATTTCATAAAACGGGATGGAAAATAAAGTTGAAGTGTCCCCCCCAAAACAGAATGAACAAGAAGAAGGAAAATAGGAGAGTGAAAATGGGAATAGCAGGAGCTTCAAAAAGAAAGAGAAGAGAAAACGGAGGGAAGGAAGCACCAAAGCATCTTCAGAGACGGGGAGGTGCCTGAGCTTTGGGGTCCCAGGATCGGTAACGTGCTTGACAAGTAGGAGGGCCCCAAAAGCTTTTTTTGTTTATGGTTTATGATAGAAGTTAACACTGAGGAATTGTTAAAATATCAGTGTATTCAGTAACGAGAAAAAGAAACCCACAGATTTTTAGAAAACTAATTTTACTGCTCTTCTCACTAACATCCTTGGCGTGCTGGCATTGTTGACGTTTTGCACGTCTCTGTACTGCCTGAGTTCCTGGGGGACAGCAGGACCCTCACACCTGCTTCCACTTCCCATCTGCTCCGGATCCCCCAGCCCCTGGAGACGCCCGCCTCACTCTCACGGGACAACGGACATGTGGGGTCGGAGTATTTTTATGGAAGTGGTGGCCCTCTGCACCCCCTGAATGGGTCTCAGGACCCTGAGGTTCACTTTGAGAACTGACGTTCAGGAATATTTCCCAAATATTCACATTGGCTCTGTTCATGAAAAAAGACCCACCCCAAAGCCACCCATCACAGAATTTCAGAATTATATTAACAAAGAAAACTCTAAAATTCCCAGAATAGAAAAACAGGTCAAGCGGAGCCTGGACCATAAATCAGAGTTCATGAGGCAACAGACAGTTTCCCAAATACCCAGAGAAAATGACTTCCTACCAAGAATTCTCTCTCCACTGACACAATCAGCCAAGTGTGAAGGGGGAACATTTTGAAATACTCAGAAAATTTACCACCTGTGACCCCTACTCAGACAGCTGCTGGGTGTGGTAACCTCCCAAAGGAGGAAATACATCTGAAATGGCATCTGAGAAACCAGGTTTCCAACAAAGGGCCAGGTGAAGGGCGTCCCCAGGACGGTGTTGGAGATAGAACCCAGCAGGCCGGGAGGGCCACCTGCTCACGTGGGAGCCGAGGACACGGGGCCCCCAGAGGGAGGTCACCAGGGAAGAACACGACCAGTGGATAATCTGATGTTTGCACACTTACACTTCTGGCACAGAGTTGGAGAATAAACTCGTGGTGTGTACTTTGATATAAAGCACAAAAAAAGGGGAGAGAATTTTAAATACAGGGAAAGCATTAATGAACAAGAAAGGAAATATAATTATGGTATACCGCAGGGCTCAGCTGAGAATAGTATTTAAAATGTAATAATACCTAAAAATATAAGCTCTGCCTTTATTCAAATTTTGTAACAACTCATCGAGAACATGGGAGGAAGGTGGGTCTGGGGAAATTCAGACGTCAGAGCGTGGAAGGCTGAAGAGTAATGACGATGCAGTATCGACCTCTTTAGAAACATCGAAACAGCCGGAAACAGCTTCAGCCGAAGATTCTCCTAGAGACAGGCCATCGAAAGCGGGAAACAGAATGCGGCGCTATTTACATTTTTTGTCAAAATATATCATGCACAGCTAACTAAAAGAAACACTTAACATAGTAAAATATGTATCATTACAACTTACACGAAGTGCAATTTGGAAATGTGTTAACATTGGCACTGAGAATGCCCTTTGACACAGCAATTCCATTTGTAGAATTTTGTCCAGTAGTAGGAAATTAGTTAAATTAATTAGGCTATGTCCAGCCAATGAAATATGATGCAGTCGCTTCAAATAATGAACCATTAAAAAATAACATAGATTTACATCTATGAAAACACATCTTCTTTCCTAATATATCCTTTAAAATTTATTTATTTATTTATTTTTAGACAGGAGGGAAGAGAGGTAAAGAAACATCAGTGTGTGGTTGCCCCTCACACTCCCCCACTGGGGACCTGGCCCGCAACCCCCAGCATGTGCCCGGACTGGGGATGGAACCCTCTGGTTCATAGGCCCGCACCCAATGCACTGAGCCACACCAGTCAGGGCCCTCACATGTCTTTCCTGTAGAGCACTAGTTTTGTTTAAAATTTTATTTTAGTGTGATTTTTCACAAAATGTCTGACTCTTCCAGTGGATCCCAGACTCCAGGAGACCAGGGGCCAGATCTCGGTTTGCTCACTGACGTGTGTGCTCTTACTGCCGGCACGATGCCGCGTACCTGGAAGGCCATTCCATGGCTGCGTGTGGGCACCTGTGCAGACGGGGAGAACGTCCAGAACACTTCATGTTAGTCAGAGCTTATCTCTGGGTGGAGGAGTTATGGGTCCGACCAGTGTTCAAATTCTTACTCCGCCATGACCTTGAGCAAGTCCCTTATCAAAACCTTGAATGTAATGACCACAGGTCCTCAGTTACCCAATTAAATGATTCCTTGTAAAAGCCATGCACATGTTTAAACTTCTAAATTGTATAACATGTCTTCAACCATAAGACTACAGTCTAATATTTCTTTTATTTTTTTTATTAGTGAACTTCTGCAAGATTTGGAAAACTGTGAAAATGACCCTGTGGCCATAGCAGAATGTTTCGTGTCCAAGGTAAGCTTGGCTCATTGCTCTGAGCCGACCCGGACAGACACCGACACGAATTGTTCTCGCTTTACAGTCAAAATGGCTTGCGTGTTCCATGTGGGGTGAAGCTAGCCACTAATCTCACTCACTCTGGTTTCATTTCTCCTTTTCTTTTTTATCAGCAAGGAAAAAATAAATACTGTTAGTGTCTCCAGTAAGTTAGGTAGGTAGTACTAACTTAGTCATTTTCCTGGAATTCATATAGTAACTGAATGATATTACTCATCTTTCCTAGAAAACAAAACAAAACCTCTAAATTTGGGGAAAGTCAGAATGGTAGAATGTTAGAAAAATAAATAAATATAAAATACTACTAGACTAGTTAGGCTATAAGTATGTTATATAAAACATATATGGCACTGCCCTAGGCTATATAATTATCATTTAGGTTAGGGGATAAAGAGAATTATTCTCTTACATTTTAAAAATGCATTTCTATTTCTCTTAAGCCGCATTGATGGTTTAGAAAAATACAAGGAAAAGACTTGACTTTTAAAGCTTACAGGACAGTTGGTTCGTCCTCTGTGCTGGGATAGGAGATAGAATTCTGAAACATACAAGGCAATCCTTTGCAACATTACTTTTGGGAAATGCTACCCACTATATATGGATCCTCTCCAAAGTTTCTCTGAAAAAGTCAACTTTGTTCAGAAAACCTCTAGCAGAAATTGTTTTGCAGCAAAACTCTGTGTGATTGGTGTCTGCAGTTGTGTCTTCACCTGTACGAAGGTTTAAGTGCAGCTCATGATGGTCCTTTGGGACCAGCTGAGAATTAGCGCCTCATTTCCAGCTCCAGAGTTCGCAATGCCAAGGGAACTCGGAGACATCCTCCCAGGTTGCCCCACTCCGGACCCGTCCCGCAGGGGCATTTGTGCCAGCTGCAAATCCATTCGTTGGTTTTGCTGCTGAACATCACACTCTGGGTTTTACTGAGTGTGGCTCCTTACAGGCATTTGATGGCTGTGGGTGTTAGACACTCCTGACTTTTTGGGTGGGTGCGAGTGTGTGAAATTGTGAAATGTTTGTGCTCACAGGGTTGCATACGATTCTTTTCCCAAGTCGCCTGTGTCATAATTAATCCTCCTAAAGGGTAGGAGTTTGAAAAAGAGAGGGAAAATGAAAGCAGGAGAAATGGGTCGAAAGATATGCCAAGTATATCAAAGCAGATATGTTAAAATAACCACAGCACGTAAACAACACAGGCTTTTGGAAACGTTCGGGCTTTTACTGGTAACTGTAATCACAAGTTGATTAAAGACGGTCCAGCATATGCTTAGCTCTGGCTTAATTATTCACATAAAAGTTTGTTTATGTGCTGTGTTGCCAACTCCCAAATCCTATTTTTCATTGTAATACTGCCAAGTTTAATTAGAAGACTGACTTTCGGCGCTCCACACTTTCCCGGGGAAGCAGGCAGCGGTGAGGGAGCGTTTGGTTCTGGCGCAGCCTGCTTTTCACTCGGCACCCCAAAATTCCGAAGATGGCACGTTTGCTGAGACGACCAGCTGCCCCACTCTGGGGAGGAATGGAAAGTGCGTTAATTGACAGGCTATTAATGAAAGAACAAAAGCTGGCGGTTGACTTGGGCTTTTATTTGAATCACTGGGGCCTACACAGAGATTCACCCTGACCTTGCTCTTGTGGTCTGTGGAGGTTCCAAAAATCTTTACTGACGGCAGAAGAGCACAGGGCAGCCTTCTGACCTGCGTCTCATAAAAGAACAGGTCCTCGCAGGTCATGGGCAGGGAGGACCGAGACAAAGGTCCCTACTGGGCAGGCCAAGCAGCCTCTCAGCTGAGCCTTTGTCTGCTCCTTGGACTTGAGAAACACCTGCAGCAGGTTTACCTCTGTTTCCTGCCTTTGCCTCCACCCTCATTTCCACCCCCGACTGTCACCTGGGCTGACCCTGGGCCGCACTGAGCGAGGAGACAAGGCTTGGCTTCAGAGGCCCAAGGTCCCCTGTTGACCTCCTCCTTTCCCTTGATACATGCCCTTCACCCCGCTTGGGGCCTTTCTCCCTCCAGGGCCCAGATATGTACTTACGAACAGAAAGCGTCCTCAGGAAGTGCCGATCACCCATATTCATGTCGGGGCAGTGTGGCCTCATCCATGGGCTATTTGTATGTTAAGTCTTTCTTGTAGGCTCCAGGGGAACTTCTCAGGCCAGTGAGTGAGTGTATGAGTGTGTGTGTGTGTGTGTGTGTGTGTGTGTGTGTGTGTGTGTGTGTGTTGATTGATTCAATAGACATTTGAGCACCCTATGAGCTCGGTTGGACAGCCCTGACTACCTTATATTTTTGTTTTTTCATAATGAAATATCTCTTTTCTACATCATCTCTCATTGCAGTCTGAAAGACTTGAATAGCCAGAAGGAAATAGCTATTTTTGTATAATTTCTTTATTGTTGCCTTCTTTTCCCCTAAATACTTCTGAAAAGGATTTGGGGAGGCAAATATCAGTAGGTATTTAAGGATTAACTAACTAGGAACTATTGCTTTTTGCATAAAGCTATTGTTTGAAATGTTGACAGATCTTACAGATCTAAGATCATATGTACATTTGGTTCTATATTAAAAATATAAAGCCAATTTGAATCAAATCCCTCAACTTTAATGTAGGACTACAGTCATGATGTCACAAAATACACAGAAATTCTCAATTGCCCAGAAGTCTTGCAGCTTCATTAGGGACAGGCTTGCACAGGTTAAATATAGGTTGCAATTTATACATTTTCACTGAGGTCGTTGATTTTAAGTGTGGTATTTTAAATAATCCTAAACTTCTCAAAAATTAAGGAAAGACAACCTGGTATTGTTCAGTCTTAGGCTGAGTGTAGCAGGAAGCAGGAAAGACACAAGAAACTGAGAGTGTGTGAGCAAACGCAGAGAAAACTCCGGTCTGACATTAATTTACTAGACCTTGAGCAAGTGACTCTGCTTTTCTTGTCCTTGGAGTCAGGACTGGCCACCCCGGTGCTCTCGGGAGCTCAACCAGTGGACACGGTGCACAAATGGGAGGCTGCAGCCAGCTCAGTACTTGCCTGGTCTCGTGGGGACATAAGTGTCATGTGAATCTGTGGGCCCAGGACCAGTGGATCTACTGCTTTTTCAGGAGAAACCAGAAATCAAGATTTTTTTTTACCTATCTTTTAGAAGTTGGTAACTAATTTGGATTCTTTTACAGTATTATGCTTGAAAGCTTGGCAGCCTTCTAAACTGGCGAGGCCACAGAGAAACAGGTGCTCACACAATTACAGGGAAACCAAATGGCAAGGCCTGTCGGAAGGCAGTTTGGCTCCATCTGGCAGAAGCAGCCTGAACGCACCCTTTAATCCAACCATTCTACTTCCGGAAATCTCCAAAGATACAGGGACAAAAATTCAATAAGTGGGATGCTATTCTTTGTAGTAATAATTGTTGCAATGTACAGATATATACAATTTATAGGAACATGTCTATACGTATACATCCATGTATGTATAGAAATGTATAGAACAGCCCAAATGTCCATAATAAACAAGGTGCTAGTTGAGGAAACACATAACAGTGCTAGGAAGTAATGAAAGCAAATTAAGGACATCTCTCTATATACTAGGGAGGGGCAGGGTGTGCTGGGGGAAGGAATAAAAGTGTGTACAGCACTGTGGTTCTCAAGCGTAGTCCCTGGACCAGCCCCGTCTGGAAGCTTGTCTGAAAGCAAATTCCCAGGACCCGCCACAGCCCTACTGCATCAGCAACTCTGGGTGCTTGCTACCCAGTGTCCACGTTTTAATGGGCCCTCAGGTGAATCTGAAACACACTCAAGTTTGCGAGTCGCTGGCATGGTTTGCTTCTATTTATCTAGGAATGAGGGACAATATGCCTGTGTTTAAATGTGTATTTTTTAAAAAAAGAAGATAAGCTGTACAATGAAATATTGGCATCTTCTAGGGGAAGGGAGAAAATAAACTAGAATGGAAAGGAACAGGAACTAGACTTCTTTATGCATTTCCTTGTAGAGTTGACTTTGAAACCCGGGACGTATTTTACATAATTATAAAGCAAAATTAAAGTTTAAAACAGTCTCCAACAACTGAGAGCAAAGTGCAACAAGCCTAATTGTATAGCCACCTTGTGATATAATCACACAGAGGAAATTCCGACTGATTAAAAAACATGCTTGATATTTTATGCTAGAAAATATAATAGATAATATTCAACCTATATACACTCTTAACCATTTTCTGTAATGATATCATCTATGGTGGTGGTGGTATTTTGCCCTGAAATTATTGAGTGTATTGTGGGATAAAGCAAATGAGTATTTATGTAAATACTCATTTACGGTGTCATTGAGAACTAGAATTGGTAGGCAGAAGAAAATACGGGGTAAGAGTAACATTAATAAAACAGTATAGTCATGAATCTGAATTGCAAGTATTAATATGAGCTTAAGGATATATTTTATATTGAAAAAAAAAAACACCATTTTTCTAACTCTGTGCACTGAAAAGGCCTAGAACTAATCATTAACCCAGCAGCAAAAGCGTCCCTGCTGCCGACACTGTGGTTTCCAAATGCTGTTCCTACCGAATGGAGCCTGGGCTCCGGGAAGAATGAGCCGGGCAGGGCAACCTGTAGGATGGTCTGGAACTTCTTGCCGCATCAGGAAACCAGAAAGCTCCTCGAGGCTCTAGGTCAGGTCAGGAGCACTCTGTTCCCTTGCAGAGTGTGTTGCACATTTACACCCAGAATTGCACAAACTATCTGAGATACTCAGGAGACAGGCTCGTGTCATGAGAGAGACAAATTTAGAGCCCAGATGCTGTTTCTTTTTATGGTTTTTAAATGAATGTTGCTGTCTGCTTTTTTTGCCCATAAAAGCCTCTTTTGCTTTCTTGCAGAGTGAAGAGTTCCACATTTACACCCAGTACTGCACGAACTACCCCAGGTACGCTCCGTGACTGTGCAGGTGCACTTTTCTCCACGTCCGTATTCTGTCCAGTCCATCAGTCTGGAGCATGTCAGTGGCAGGCGCTACGTGCCTGGCCCAGCACACACGTGCAGTGTGTGCTGCACACTGTGGGGAAGCTAGGAGACCTGCTGAGAACGGATTGGGGGACAGAGGTGGGGGAGCCTGGACACCGATCTGCTCAGGATTCGGGCTCCCAGCACAGCCAGGGTGGGGAGAATCACGGAAGACCTGCAAAGAGACCAGAAGGTTGCTGGGTGTCCTTCAGTGGAAAACCAAGTAAACCAGTGTGCTCGGCTACAAGTCTCGGCTGTTAACCCTCTTGTACGACTGCCATGTTTTTAAAACTCTCAGAAGCAATGTTACTGAGTGTATATGATCTGGTTGGGGAGAAGATATGTTGTATTTCCACCAGCTAAGTTCTGTGACCTGTGTGAGTGCTGTGGAGTTCGGAGAAAGGAAAGGCCGTGGCAAGCTTAGGTGAGAAAAGAGGACCCGCAGTTTGCCCTGGACCCTGCCTCTGTGTTCCTGTGCTGGAAGCTCTGGCAGGTGGGCAGTTCAGGGACAGGGGCAGTCCATCCCCTGGACGTTACTACATGGACCATCTCAGCAAGGGAGTCAGGCCTAAGACCACTGTCTGAATGTCTCTTTTTGTGCACAAGACATTTATCGAGCACTTACTGATTCCTAGTCGCAGTAAAGTGATTATTGCTGTAAGCAATAATAATTGCTGGATTTAACTTCCACAGCAATCTGGAGATGTCCAGGGATTAAAGCAAAGCAGAGGAGCCATCGCAGTGCTGAGCATGTCCCAGGTCCCCAGCCTGTGCTGGTTTGCCGTCACCCTGCCCCATCCCCACCATGGAGATGAAGGAATGAGGCTCCAGTAGGTTTGCTGATGTTACCAGGGTCTCACAGCTGACGAGAGACCCTGAGAGGTTTTTCCAACTTCAGACCTCATGCTACTACATCCTTATAAGGTTTCCGGAGCTTCATGATCTGCACCCCACGCCCAGCCCCGACACCCTTTTGTGGTCACTTTTCCCACGTGATCCTTGCGTTGTTACCCCAGTGGCCAGCCAGGAAGAGGAGAGCCAGGGCGATTTTACCCGCTCTGTGCCCGTCATGGTAAAGACGTGTCCCTGAGGAGCAAGTGGGCGGTGGGCCCCACCTGGAAGAGAAGCAGCAGGCTGAGCCCCTAATGCTACTCAGTGGGAAGAACCAATGGGGCCCCTGCTTGACTGGCCCCAGAGAACCAGTGTGGATTAAAAGGCCAGGGCCTCGGTCCTCTGGATGGCAGGACACTTGCCACTGGGGGGTTGCAGTCTCCTCCTCCCAGTATTGGTCAGGGTGTCGGGCTGGGGTGACTTATTTGACTGGAGGCCAACCACACTTTCCCCAGGTTTCCCTATAGATTACAGATTACCTACAGTTACCTACAGGTTAGTACATTTAACACATACACACCTCCGCAGACACCCCCCATAGTCCACTCAGTTTCATGTCCAGGGGTGTCCAACCTTTTGGCATCTCTGGGCCACACTGGGAGAATAAGAGTTATCTCAGGCCCCACATTAAATACACAAACACTAATGAAAATTAATGAGCAAAAAAGAGTTTAAGTAAATTTACGGTTTTTGTTGGGCCGCATTCATGGCCATCCTGGGCCGCGTGCAGCCTGCGTGCCGTGGGTTGGACACCCCTCATTCTCTCCTAAAGTTTTCACATCTCTGCAGGGGATATCAGGGAACCGCAGGGTGCCCCAGCTAATAACCCCGTGGCGCTTATGCTGAAAGCCCACACTGACCCTCACGCAGAGAAATCCCAGAATCAACAGCTCAACTTCTTCCTGAGGGAAAAGAGAAAACACTCAAGACTCTGTAGAATCAACAAAGTTTTGGACCTGACGATTGGTCCCTGGGGCCCGAGAGGGGCCTGCTGGGAGATGAGGTCTGCGTGGATCTCGGCCTCCGCCGGCTGTTTGGAGAAGAGCTCCTGAATTTGCGGTGTCAGGAGCTTATAGTAAGATGTTTCTGAGTGAGGAATGAGAATGGAGAGCACCAAGTAAAGGCACCTTTTGATGCACTAGGCTTCTTTCTTCAGGGGAAAAGCAAGATCATTTGTGAAGGGACATTTTTAAGAGTCTGTCACTCACAGCATGGTTGCAAGCTTGGCGAATGCGGATAAGAAATAGGAACCATGCCCCTTGCCTCCTGGCACAGTTCATATTCTTTTGATGGTCAGGACCCAACTGAATGCAATAGTGAGATAAGTAGCAAGTTGGAAAAGATCAAATTAGTAAATACGGACTAACATAGTACAAACTCAGTGATGTGCAACAGAAGTAAAATATACTGAGATAAAGGAAGAGTAAGTCCCGGTGACTAGTGTTAAGGACAGTTTCTTGGAGAAAGTGATTTTTTATTTTGAATCTGACTTGAGGAAGGAAAAAATGTGCTGGAGATGCTTGAAAGACATTCTCATTAAAAAAAAAAAGACCTTTTAAGACATTTTCAGTGAAGCAGGCACATCCAGTTCTTGCCCAAATCTGTGGTTTTCAAGGTCATAGAAAAATTCTGCCTCTCGCCCCCTTGTCTCCGGTCAGTTTGTTTTCTGAGGCCCAAGGTTTCCTGTCCTGTTGTAAGCCAAGAGGGCCAGGTATTCCAGCCCATCAGACAACTGTCCTTCCCCCTTCAGACACAGGCTGGCGATATTAAATGTCGCCAGCACACCTTGACAGATGTCCACCTTCTTCATACCAGTCACGCCCCAGTGGTTCCTCTGTGAAGAGACACAGGCCGCCCCGCTTCCCCCAGGGAGGGGCCCGGGCCCCATCAGGTCATTGTCCTCAGATGTCGCCTGGTGCCCTGAATCCGGAGTTCAGGGTGCTCAGGGCCGGGGCAGGTTTCTCACCCTCAGACAAGAGCTGCAGATTCTCACCCCATGGCCCCTGGCCCCTGGCCCCTGGCCCCTGGCCCCGGAGCAGCTGATTCTGACTCTGAGAAAAGTTCCTTAGTTACAGAATTTTTTAAAAAGCTGTCGAAATCTCAAGTTGGCAGGGAAATAAACCTGTGTGACCAGATGGGCTCCAAAGGGATTCTAAAGGTGTCATTAGGAGACCTGCACTTAACTTCCTTCCCAGGAGTTTTATTTTGTTGTTTGCCTCTCTACCTGCTCTTCTAAATTAATCCTGAAAACAGGTTCCTGACTTGGGGAGAAATTACTTCCACCTGCCTCCTGCTAAGTTATGAGATCATAAAGTGTGTGTGACTGCAGAAGCCCACTAGCTTGCCTCATGTATAAGATCTGAGCATTGTTCCAACCGTTCTCCCAGGGTGCTCTGGGGCCATCCTCACTACCTTTGGGGGAGCAGAACAGAGAAGCCATCACGACCCTCTTTTCTAATCCACTCCAGGCGGCCCGCTCCTTAAGGAGGCAGGTTACCCCGCTGTTTCAGAAGCTGTCTTTAGAATCAGCACAGCCATTGGAGGGGGGAAGACGGGTCTGTTCAAAGATTGGCAAAGGAAAGTTGACCTGTGGGGCAAGGTCTCCAAGGACCTGCACACTTAAAGGCATGCTGTTTGCACTTTATACAAAAACAGCAGCAGAAGGGGTGATGATGTCTGGCTTGGGGCTGGATTTCCTGGGAAGAAGGAGCTCCTTTTCCCTGGTGCCAAGGGCTCCTTCCTTGCCATCTCACCTGTGGACACTGAATACGGATGTGTGGTTTGGGCACTGCCCAGAGACACCCAGATGGAGCCCGGTTGGGGCCTAACAGGCAGTGGGCATCCCCTTTGCTAAGCCACGTAGGGCCACGTAGGGGCCACATCCCTGGAAGGAAGGAGCTTGCTGCTTAGAAGCACTGTGTCTGCGTTACCATCACTGGTAGAGAGCCTTTTGCTAGTTCACTCACCCAGAGGGACTCCTCGGCCTAACTTACCCAGAGGCCTTCTCGTCTAGCTCCAGCCCTGTTGCTTCCCTACCTGCGTTAGGGCTTTTATACCTGCACCGGCATTTAAACCTGAATACCCATGTTAAGCAAGCATGTCAATGAGGGTGAAAATATTTATTCTTCTCGCAGATCTGTGGCTGTGTTAACAGAGTGCATGAGGAACAAGACCCTGGCCAAATTCTTCAGGGAGCGTCAGGAGACTCTGAAGCACTCGCTGCCCCTGGGGTCCTACCTCCTGAAGCCAGTGCAGCGGATTCTCAAGTATCACCTCCTCCTGCATGTGAGTTTCTGCCTCTGCTGGAGCTCTTTCCAGAGGATGAGGATTAAGTGTCTATATATTATTAGGTTTAGGGGGAAAAAAGATCAGAAAAGGCTGGGGACATATGGAAACATTTTCCACACTCATACTTTACAACTGACTAATCTGCTTTGAGGAATTAGAGAGATTTATTTATGTTCGAGACCTGCCCCCCCTTCACAGCAGCCCAGGAAAGGCTCGTTTTACCTCTGATTCTGAGACTGTTCAGGAGCCCCTCACTCTGGGCTGTGGCCGTTTCATGCAGGGAGTTCTCATCCTAATGAAAAACAGGTTTTTTTATGTTTTATTTTATTTCCATGAGCCCTGATTCATGGAAATAAATGGGAGGGAGAGCGATTTGTCATAGATCAGCTTTCGTATGAGCAGAGAGAAGGGGCTAAAATGGGAGAAGACAGGTGAGCAGCGTGATGAGTGATCTGTGAGCCGAGCCCAGCATCACGTCAAGGTAGCTTTTCTTTATATCGTTCCCCATTCTGTGGGCAAAATTCAAGGAGGCTTTAGACACAAAGGTAGACGTAGCACTCACATTCTCATTTCTCATCCTCTAAGGAAGTGGATAAAAATGGGGGAAAAGTGTTGTTGAAAGTAACTTTCATTTGTAGGCAGGATCGGGTAGCCTGTGCAGCAGGAGGAAGACAGCAGTGCACCGTGGTTGGGGGCTGGGGCAGGACTATAAATCACCGCCCGCGTGCACTGTGGCTCACAGGCAATCGATAAAAATAATAATAATAATTAATAAAAATAGGAAAGAGGTTTTAATCCAGAGTTTCTCTCCATATCAACACATCTGCAATTTATATGTATCTCTTTTTAAGTGACCCCGGGTTTCTAACTTGGACAAGCCAGGATTGCTCAGTCTACACACACAAAAAAATTTAAGAACCTTTATATTACAACTTCACCAGAAATTTCTTAACTTCGTCTCTTCGCCTGGGTGGCTCATCCTTGCAGAATCTGCTGTCCTCTGAAGGACATCAGATAGCACTTTAATTGTTAAATTGATGCTAATAACTTATTAGATTAGTGGGATTAATTTGCTAAATCAGTGCCCAAATAATTCTTAAATAAATAATACCTGTCCCAGGACAGACCGCTGCTAATATGACATCGAAGAGGAGTATGTCCCCACGATCTCTAAGTGTGGCCTTCTGGGCAGGAAGAGGGCTGTCAATCAAAAAAATGTCTAAGATCTCAGTGACATAAGCATGTCACATATAACAAGTCGTGATCCTTATGAAAAGTTAATTGATAGAAAAATCAGCCCTTATTGTCTAAATCAAGAGCTAGTGTCTTAGTCAGCCTGGGTTTATAAAAAAAAAAAGTCCCACAGACTTGGTGGAATTAGCAAAAACATGTATTTCTCACAGTTTCTGTGGCCCGAGATCAGGGGACCAGCATGGCTGAGTTCCGGTGAGAGCCCAGGGGGCCACAGACTCCGGACATCTCCTGTTCCCTCGCGTGGATTAAAGCAGCAAGAGGGCTCCCAGGGGCCTCTTCTCCGAGGGCGCTACCCCTAAGGGCCCCACCCGCGTGGCCTCTCCCAAAGGCCAGCACATGAGGGGTTTGTATTTCAACATAGGAGTCTGGGGATGGACACAAACATTCAGTCTGTGACAGCTGGTGAGGAAGTGAAAAGGGAAGAACAGCCATTAGATTCATCTAAAACGAACGACCAGTTGCCTTTGAAGTTTATCGCTTTATTGTTTATTTAGAGTGTTCCTTCTGTGTTCACATCACTTCAGAGTTGTGTAGCCATCTGTGAAGATCCGCACACGGACACACTCTGTACTCCTGAGTCTGCTGGCGAACAGGGTTGCCTCTCAGACTAAATGAAATAAGAAACGAAGAGTTTTTTAACTTTGCTGTTGATCTCATTTCTAAAAAAGTTTTCTTATCCTCACCTGAGGATATGTGTTGTTTTTTTTAAATTGATTTTAGAGTGAGAGGAAGGGGGAAGAGAGAGAGAGAAGGGAACACTGATGTGAGAGAGAAACATTCACCAGTTGCCTTCTTAGGTGCCCTGACCGGGGATCAAACCCACGACCTTTCGGTGCGTGGGATGGTGCTCCAACCAGCTGAGCCGCCCAGCCGGGGCTTTGCTGTTGATCTTGAGCTTGCCTGGACGTTGTTAGTTTGGTGATACAGCTTTAGAGTGTGCCCTTTCTGAGTGTGAAAGAAGATGTGAATTCTTTTCAATTTCTAACTGGATGGAAAACTTGAATACTCAGTAAAAGAAAAGAGTTATATAAAGTATGACTATAAAATGATAGAGCTAATCTTCCTAAGTTATACCATAAGACTCCACCTCCATCCTTTAGCTTAATGAATATGCATGATGCCTGTCATGGAGATGATCTGACAGACCACAACATCTTCTTAATGTTTCACATAGTTGTACAGGGTTACTGTTGTTTTTGTTTTAAGAAGTTAGAGCTTCAACTTGATGAGCCTTTCTTCGCCTCCCAGCTCTCTAGTGGGCACTGTCGAGAAGATAAAGGGTTTCCTTACACTCTGGAGGGTTCTAGGGACATGTGTCTAGGGAGGGTACTGTGCCAGGAAGAATGAGAGCAGAGGTCGTGCCCTTTCTCCCCTCCCGGGACCGTGGAGCCCCAGCACAAGGCTCAGTGCTGACCATCGGGGAGCGAGTGGGCAAGCCCAGACCGAGGCCGCCCTCCACACTCCGGAGGGTGGTCTCTGGTGAGCTTCCTGTGGGCTTCGACGCCTCGACTACATGAATGCTCACTTGCCGTGGAAGGCTTTTTCAAAGAGAATATTCATGCTATTTCCAAGTCATGTGTTATGCATTAAGTCCTACGTGAGACATTTCCTTTCTCTGGGAGAAAAAAAGTAGGTATGTTTTCCATCTTGTAAGAGTGAGAACCATCGAACGTTGGCCACCAGGCAGCTCAGAAATCTCTCACTAGAATACCCCCCTCTTGCATCTGTTATAATAACGGCACGACCTCTATGAGGCTCGACGGCCTGTGTGCAGGTGTTCTCCTCTATCGTGAGAGTCTAGTCCACTTCTGTTTTTCCTAGCTCCCTTTTCTTTCCTTTCTAACCATTTTGTCATTGGTATTTCTGGAAAGTTATCTCAACGTCCTAAAGAGTGATGGTAGTGTGTAAGTAATTAAGCAAAAATAAAACACGAGGAACTAATTGCCATTTGTTTCCTTGCGTAAATGGAGAAAAATAGAAAATAACTAGTGTGGGTTGTTGGGTTTTTTTTAAGGAAATAGAAAATCACCTCGACAAGGACACGGAGGGCTACGACGTGGTACTGGATGCTATAGACACCATGCAGCGGGTGGCCTGGCACATCAACGACATGAAGCGGAAGCACGAGCACGCAGTCCGGCTGCAGGTGAGCCCGAGGCGGCGGCGCCTGGCGCTGCTGCAGGTGCAGCGGCTTCTCCGAAGCCCAGTGTCAAAGCTGCTCAGTGGCGCACTTCAGTCACGGTCTTCATCAGAGCCCCGAAGAAAGATCAGGACACCGGTAATGCCGATGCCGTTTAATGGGGTATTTAGGACAAAGTCCCATGGTACCTTTTCAACTAATTGCTTGCTCACAGCCCCTTCGATGACCCAAGTTAAAATTTTGACTCTCCTGAGGCCTTATCTTATGTTAATTGCAAAGAAGTAATTCTTTTTTGTTAAAGATTTTATTTATTTATTTTTAGACAGAGGGGAAGGGTGGGAGAAAGTGAGGGAGAGAAACATCAGCGTGTGGTTGCCTCTCATGCACGCCCCCCACTGAGGACCTGGCCCAAAACCCAGGCATGTGCCTTGACTGGGAATCAAACCAGTGACCCTTTGGTTCCCAGGCCGGTGCTCAGTCCATTGAGCCACACCAACCAGGGCACAAAGAAGTAATTCTTGCTGAAAGCAACTTTTTCTAAGCTGCTTAAAAGCTTTTTTTTTTTAAACGTCTGTTCCTCTGTCACTAGTTCAAGCCAAGTCACGAGGTGGGTGGTTGCCTGTGGTGTTGGGGCAGAGGAGAGTGAAGTCTGGAGCCAGGCCCTTCGCAGTCGCATTTGGGATGAGTCCCACCACTGCATTTCAGGTCCTTCATTTTTAAAATAAGACAGACGAGGGCTTGCTAAGGCTCCTCTCGGAACCAACATTTTGAGCCCTAAGTTTCTGAAAACTTTTGATAGATGCTGAGCCAGTGGTCATGTTCTGGGCACCTCAAAGGATATTTTATTTAAAAACAAAAGGCCGTGTGAGCCCAGAGGGAACGCCAGGCTCCTGGGTGTTCCTGGAGTGAGACATGAAGGGCCACAGGGACTCCGAGTTCCGCGGAGCACCTATGCCTGACTCAGGAGTAAAGGACACATTATTTGGTCCATCGTTGCAAACGAAATTCTAGGTTTCATTGAGAGGCGGCCAGAGTGTGGTGTGATGCAATCGACTATCAAAAATCAAAGGAAAGTGATGTTCTCATCTTTCAGGCCATGTCTGTTTTTTGTAGCAATAAAAAGGGTTCAAAGCTTCATCGTTCAAATGTTTTATGGACAGAAAGTCAGACATAATGTCTATTGCATTTCCAAAAATGGCTAAGGGACTGGATTTTCATTCCTTATGAATCTGTTTGGCATTCTGAAGATGCTGCTAAATCAGCCCCTGGCTCAGCCTCATCTCCATTCCCATCCATGTCTACTTTCCACCAAAGAAGTTTCATTCGTTTATCTTGAGGGCTACTTCATTAGATTCTGTTTGTGAACATTTTCACTTCTCAAAGTAATAAACTCAGCTTCCTTAAAAAATATTGATATGGATGGACAGTGAATCCCAAATAAACTTCAAAGTCATGTTATCAATGTATGTTTATCAGGTTCCATTCACCACATAGTGGTGAAGAAATGTTCATTCCCTTTCCCTAAATAAATGGGATTACTGTCAGGAAGTTCCTGAGATGATGTGTCTCGTATGATTTTCCACAGACTTTAGTTTTGAGTTACCGATATGTGGTGTCAACTTCAGTTTCTGGAAGAAGTTATCCAGGTCAATAGCTCTAACGGATTTTGTCCAGAGGCTAGGGGGTGAGAAAGGGCAGGGTGCCTCCTGAGAAGGTCACATATCAATGGCCTCTTTACGCAGCCAGCTCCAAGGGAGGGGGGGGTTTATCTAGGGATGGAAATAAGTGATCAGCATCTTATCAACTAACAGCGGGGTTCATTTCCGCCAAGAAATGTAAATTAGTGTCGTGGATCGGAGACACCATTAGACCCCACATAGACCCTTGGGCGCTGTCAGGGGTATTTAGACACCATTCCTGAGGCTCCAGGAATGGGCCGCCCCGTTCTCGCTGCCTCGCCTCCCACCTCCTGCGCCGCGGCATGGAACATCCGTTTGGTTTTTTCCCAGGAGATACAGAGTTTGCTCACTAACTGGAAGGGGCCCGACCTGACCAGCTACGGGGAACTGGTGCTCGAAGGGACCTTCCGCCTCCAGCGGGCCAAGAACGAGCGGACCCTCTTCCTCTTCGACAGGCTGCTTCTCATCACCAAGAAGAGAGACGACACGTTTACATACAAAGCTCACATCCCGGTAGGTGTGCAGGGTGGTCACAGGCAGGGACTTCAGTGGCATCGTCTCCAGGCGACCTCACCCTCTCTCCGCTCTCCGCGCAGTGCGGCAACCTCATGCTGGTGGAGGTGATCCCCAAGGAGCCACTCAGCTTCAGCGTCTTCCACTACAAGAACCCGAAGCTGCAGCACACAGTTCAGGTAAGAGCCAGGCCCCACCTCCCTGCAAGGCCCGCTCTCCATGATGATGAGCACCCTGCGCCAGGCAGGCTTTCTGGAGTTTTCTGGCCGCACGGCGTGTTTTCCATCCCATCAGAGGCTTAAAGGAATGTGGGACTCTCAGTGGTGGCGGAGGCTGGACGCGTCTGACTGTCCGAATCTCCTTCCTGTAGGCGAAATCGCAGCAGGACAAACGCCTGTGGATTCTGCACCTGAAGAGGCTGATCCTGGAGAATCATGCGGCCAAGATTCCAGCAAAGGTAAGACTGCAAGCCGGCACACAGTGATGTGTCAGGACATTCACGTCCTAGGGAGGCAGCCGGGCAGAAGTAAACGCCCACCTTGAACAGGAAGGAAGAGAGAGACGGAGGATCCACCAGGCGCCCACTCACCCAGCCATTCACACTGAGAGGGTTCACATGTAGTGAGACCCTGCAGAGAGGTTTTTGGTTTGTAACTTGTGTTTTCCCTCGGGGGCTTGAAAGAAGAAAAAGTAAGAAAAAGACTACAAGTAAATTTCTAGAGAACCAGCGGAAACATCAAGAGTGCCGTGAGAAGTATTCAAAGGCGCACCGGGCACGCATGGTGCACGGAGCGGCTCAGCTCTCGGGAAGCCAGGCCCCGACTCTGCCAGGAAGGGGCGTGTAGGCGAGGGAGCTGGCCCTGCATTATTGCACTATCCACTAAACGTGATGAATTAATAAAGGTATAAGCCGAGTGTTGAGGAAGGGCAAAGTATTCAATTTCAGTTGAGTGGGGAAAGGAAGGAAAATGCCTTTCAGTATTTTGAAGGATGAGGAATATTCTCATTAAGTGGAGGAAAGGCAAGAGGAAAATCAAGCCGAAGGAACAGCATAAACAGAACCAGGAGGGAAGGGCTGAGTGCTCAGGAGAGGGAGCTGGAGGCCAGGCCTGGGGAGTGGAGGGCAGTCAGCCAGGCTGGGAGGGGCTCCGACCCCACACGCCGAGGAGTCCGGGTTGTGCCGGCGGCGGACACCACTGAAGGTTTTGTAGGAAGCGTGTGGCGCGCTTGCCCCCGTCCCGAGAGCGTGCCTTTGGGAGCAGTGGGACAGTGAATGGGAGGAGAGAGACTGGAGACAGGAGAGGAATTAAGAAGCCACCACAATAGCCTAGAAGAGATGAGGGCACTGCCAGGGAGCCACTGCCTGCGAGGGGGCGCAGGTGCCAAACCCGTCACAGCGGCAGAGGGAACAGGGTTTTGCCCACCAAGTGTGTGAGGACAGGGAGAAATAAAAGTCAAGGATGAGTCAGAGTTGGGCCAGGAGGATGGTGTCGTAAGTTCCCAAATAGGCAGCACAGGGGAGGAACCGGTTGGTTGGGAGCAAGAGGGCAGAGTGCTCACACGTGTGACGGGCGGGTCCGCTGCAGGTGGAAATTTGGGTCTTGGAAGCTGTGGATCTGGAGGCTCTCTCCACCCAGACTGCTTGAGAGTTGCTGGGAGGGCCCGGCAGAATGTCTAGAGGAAGGAGAACCCCTGGGCACCCCAACATCTAAGCGCTGTACGGTGTGGTGGGGGATTCGGGGAACCCCTGAAGGAAGAGCAGCGGTGAGGCAGTAAGACAACCGAGGAGAAAGGGGCGGTAAAACAAAGGAAGGAAAGAATCTCAGGGAGAAGGAGCGAAGTCACAGCCTCTGATGCTGCCGAGGTCAAAACAGCTGCAAACAGAAAAGTAGCCCTCAGATTTGTCCAGGGAGGGAGGGGGGAGAGACCGTAGGGGGTTGAAGAGAAAAGGCAGAAGAAGGAACGGGCTGAGTGTAGGCTCATCTTTTTTAAACAGAGTTCAGAGAAGACAAAAGGGGGCGGTTTGAGGAAAGATAAGATGAAAGCAAGACCCTTTGTGTGGGTGAGGAGTGACGGGTCACATCACACGTAAACAACAGGGGAAGAAGGCGGGGAAGCAGGAGACAGTAAGGGGAAGAGGAGTGATGCTCCTTGGAATGTGGCCCTGGGGGAGTGGCAGGACAGGATCAAAAGCACGGGTCTAGGGGTCAGTTTTGAGGGCCAGACACATCTTTCCTGGGCTCAGAAGAAAGGTGAGCGAGGACAGAGAAGCTTGGAGGTGGCTCTGAGGGAAGATCAAGGGTTTGATCTCACTGCCGTAGGTGGCAATGTCATCTGCTGCAGGAGGGAAGCGAAGGTGGGGTTGCAAGTAGAACGGCCCAGAACACTTGCTGAAGAAATGGACCAGCCAGTCGGTAGGGACGACCACAATAGCCTGGCACAGGCATCATGGACCCAGCTGGAGCTGGCCACCATGAATCAGTGGGGCGAGATCATTTTCAAAGCTACTCAGCAACTCAGAAGCTAGTGCTGAGGAACCACGGTGCCTGCGGGTTCCCCAGCGGTGGGGGCTGGTGAGGGAAGGTTCACAGGGCAGAGAAGGCAGGGCACCCTTCAGTGTCTATGGCAGCAATTGAACAGGATTTCCAGGCTGAGCAGACAATGAAGCCAACTAGGAAAATCAGCATGGGGGGAAGGAACGTGGCCTTGTAAAGTCAGAGAACTGGTTTGGCAGGAGTTAAAGGTGGGGAGATGGAAGTGCTGAGGTCTGTAGGCGGAGAAGGGACCTTGAGAGCCCCGCCTTTGAGGTAGGGCAGCTCTGGGTGACAGTCGGGTTCTGCGGGCAGCTGTGAGTGTGTGGAAAAGGTTAGAATGTGGCAAGGAAGCAGGGTGAGGGCGGAGTGTGGATTATCCACATGGATGGTGAAGTGGTCCATACAAGGGGGGCAGGGCAGGGAGGGGTGAAGCGGGGCAGAGAGGGGGATGAGCTCATGAGAGTAGAACTGGGTGGTAAATAAGGACAGTTGAGATTTCTCCGAGTCAATTTTGCCCCCTGTATATTTTGAAAAGCACCTTCTCAGGGGTGATCTGCAATGATTTTGTGCCCAGGAAATGAGTGTGCATGGGTGTGTGTTTCGTCCAAGGCAGGAGTCTCATTCCATCAGGTGGTTCGAGATGTCAGGTAGCTCATGCAGAGAGGTGACTGCGTGTTCTTCTCGGTTAGTCATTGGATTGCTGGCCTGTGCCTTGGAATGCCCTTCTGAGCAGGGGCAGAGTGTCTTTGATACGCCCCACCTATGTTTACCGGTCTACTGGAAATTCCAATCTGCCAAAGGCAATTAGAGGCCATGACAAAACAAGATGAGCTGACATGCCCGTCCTCCTTCTCCCACGCCAGCCAGGTGTGTGTGTTCCAGGCAGACTTTCCTCTATGTGTCAAAATGGCCGCCGGAGGACTGTACTTTTCAGCCAGCGTCCTTTGAAAATTCTCTTTCAGCTACCCCTCCTTGAGCTGCACCTACACTGTGCTCAGTACTTCGTGTTCTTGTTTCACCCACTGCAAAACACCTGCTGAGAGAGGCCTTCTCCTCCCCACCTCGGGGAAGTGGAAACAGAGGCTCAGAGACTTTAAGCAAAGTGCCCCTGTGTATACACAGCTGGTAGTTCATGGCCAAGCCCAACTTCGAGCCCAGGTCTGTCTGGCTGCGGAGAGCTGGCCTTCACCACATTGTTTCCGGTGGTGATGAAAACACACTTATTTCATCTACTTTAGCCACTGGAGTGTTAGAGTAATTTTCTAGTTTATTTAAGCAGATTATTAATTTGGATTTTCACTTATTTTCTTGACTATTTCTTCTTTCTTAAAACTATCAAAATGTATTCCTGTTAAATAAAGGAAATGCATAATGGGGATTTTTTAACATCAGAAAATGCATCACCAGTCTGATAATGCTAACACAGTTGTTGGAAATTCATTAGTGTAGTTCCGCCCACCAGCTCCGGTCCTTTAATTCAATGATGGTCCCTGGCTGACGCCTAGTGGAAAATGTGGGAATAGCACTTTAAGGTCAAGTTTATAAATGCCAAAAAGGTTCTTGGAAATAGTTGTATGGCCTGTTCATATACGTGGTATACAAGCTGACTCTTGTCCAGATTAACTGAGAAGGTGAAAGTAGAGACTTCTGCTTCCCGTGGCTCTGTACATGCACTACACAGAAACTGAGCGTTTGCATTTGAAATGAATTCCAACGAGTAATCTCAAAGTCTGAATGGACTACAAAATAACAGTGTTATAACAAAAGTGTGTTTTCTCCAAGTTATGGAGGCTGGATCAAGTCTTTTTTTTACCCTGTTCATTAGAAAAAAATGACTGCCACTTAGTCTAAATATTTTTACTATGATGTCACAGATTGTGGCAAAATACAAGGAAAAGAACTTGTAAAGTAATTTTTAGCATGACGTGTGTAGATTCAGTTACATTACCCTTGAAAAAAGAAAATTACATTAAAGAAGCAAGAAAGGCTACCCAGCCTAACTTTCTTTTTAAATCCTCAGGCAGTTAGTTATGGTAATCATCTTATCTTTTTTAATTCCCTGAAATATTAATAACTTATGACAACAGTAACAATTTTTCCAAGCCTCAAAGCAGAGGTGGGGAGAAGTGTGTGTGGAGGAAGTGAAAGTCAAGGTCCTCAGGCCCATTGGGGGGGGAGTGGTTGCCCAGGGGCTCCACGCCCAGTGGGTAGCATTGGGTTCCAGCAGCCTCTCTGGCAGGCGGGCCCTGTGACCTTCTTCAGGTGGAGGGAGCACGTTCAGAGATGAGAGAGCAACCACCAAGCAAGTGCCGGAGCAGCATCACAAACCAAGTCCCTTTCTGGGAGATTCCAGGGCACACAAAAGGTGGGAGGTGCTGTAGAGAGTTAGCTGATGCTCATCTTGTAGCATCTGGAAGGCGGGAAACAGCAAACTCCCAGCAATCTTTTCTGAGTGAGGCAGGGAAGACCAGTTGTGCAGATCCCAGGCCCCACCCCCTGGGCTTTTGGTTCAGCAGGTGGGGGCTGAGTTCAGTGGATCGGGGTTGGGGAGCAAAAAGCTGCATTTTATAACAAGGTGACCAGCAGGTACCAACGATCAGCCAGGTTCTGGAACTGTTGGGTGAACCCTTTCCTATTTCTTCTCTTCCCTCTTCCCCTCTTCCCACCTAACCCCACCCCCTGTCTCTCTCCTGTTCTCTCTCTTCCTCTTTCTCTCCACCTTGGTCTTCCAACCCCACCTCCATCCCTCCTTCCTTCCTTCCAGGTTGGAACTGAGGTTTAGCTCTGGTGCCTTCCTTGTGCAGCATCTACTCCCCACATGGGGGCGTTTCTCTGTTTGAATCCCCTGAACTATGTGTTAATGCCTAAAAGAAAGAATGAATTTATTTAAAAGCTCTTCAAAAACCCCTTACGGGTGGGCTAAGACCCATATCAGGATTGGTGATTTAAAGCACCCCCCCAAGAAAAGGTCATTGCAATGATAGCTACACTCTCTTTCTTTCAGGCCAAGCAAGCAATACTTGAAATGGATGCCATTCGTAAGTCCAGTTTTCTTTACAGAATTTGAAATTTCGTTTTTGATTTGTATCCATCACATTTTTCTAACTGAAAGTTTATAACAATGTCACTTGTAAGAAGTAGCAGCTCTCTCTGGTTTTAGAAAATACAATCAGCAGTGTTACCTCTTCCGGACACACCAGTCTGCTTCCACACTGACGACTCCTGCTTTCTCTGAGTCACCCTGGCTGGCGCATGTGAGGGCTCTGTATTGACTACCGTATTTTGCCATGTATAATGCACACTTTTTTAGCCCAAATTTTTTAGGAAAAAATAAGGGTGCGCACTATACATGGGTATAATGTGTTTATATAAATGTTTTTATTCTTCCATTTATGTTTATGCATTCAAAGTGTAACTGTAGAAAGTAATAACCATATCCGTAGGCAGAATAATATCCTGAAACACGATAACCAGTTTTGTTTCTAAATGTAAATAAATAAATAAATAAATGAACTGCAGTATTAAAACAAAGGACGTTTTCCTGACAGTTTGGGCCAAAAACCATGGGCGCACATTAGACACAGGAGTGCATTATACGTGGCAAAATACGGTAGCGATGTAAGATGCCCTTCTAGGGTCATCCCCTCCCCCGTCTCCCCCAGCACCCCACCAACCGGTAAGGCCTCACAGCCCACCTCCCACCTCACCCACTGAGGGAACGTGGGTGTTGATTATCTGAAGGCCTCCTGACAACTAGATAGTTCTGGTTTTCCTGATAACAGCCCACATTTCAAAGTTACAACTGCCTCGGCCATGCAATTGTATTTCTAGGCTTCTGCGAGCAGGCAGAGCATAAACATGGAGTCTCTTCTCCAGAGCGAGACCCTGTTCTGCAGCCCTTATCACAGTCCTGTTACCTCCCAGGTTGAGTGGAGGAAAAGGGGAAACAATGACTTCAAAGCCCGACAGCCAGGCCTGACAAACTTTTGCTTGAAACTTCCAAAGGCACTTACTGTTCAGGAACCTTTCCCCCAGTGCAAACTCAGACTCACTGACCCTCCGACCTGTTGATGGGTAACCCTCCGGAAGATCAAAGAAGTGTTCCCGAAGGACCAGGATGAGCGCCCCGGCCACAGTGGCTGGCAGTCCCCGGTTCGGGTCCACCAGACTCTGAGGGATGATTCCCACAGAGCACCACGCTGGGGCTCACTGCCCTGGGGTCTCTGAATCCCCACTCAGTGGAAGTCTCTAAGATTTGTTTTTTAATAAAAGCGTTCTGAAGAGAAGGCAAGGTCAGGAACAGCCAGGTGAGGATTCGGAGGAAAGAGGTGGATCCGAAGAGGCCAGCTCCTACTGCGATGAATTCCGTTCAGTGAAGCGATTTACTTACTGATTTCCAGGGTCTGGGCTAGCTCCTGGGCTCCATTAAGATTTCATGGTGCACAGAATAATTTCAAGCCACAAATTGGTGTCACATGTCTCTCTTCTGGACCTGGACGAGGCCAGCCCAGCCTAGGAAAATAACCTTATTTGCCCTACACTGACTTTGGACTTCACTGAGTATGAACAGAGTTGGCCAGTCCATTGGACCAAAAAGCCTCCTTTATATAACTTTACCACTTACACTGGAGAAGCATATGCAGTCTTTATAACCCTCAGAACTGTCTCAGACTTTGATGCCTTTGAAGAGCTTTAACCCCAGTCTGAAGGTCACCGGTCTACAGCTCCATCCTTCAGTTGTCACCCTCGGGCTCCAGCATGCAGATGTCACCGATGGGCTGCACTGCTGTAGGGCTCGGCCAGATTTCCTCAATCCAAAGTCTGCGTGCCCCTTAGCGGGGGCAGAGGGACAAACCGCGGAATCGAGTGAAAGCCCTCCTCTGATAAGAGAACCTAAAGCACTCATCACATGCTCCAAGGAGCCAAGTCTAGACAAACTAATTACCAGGCCCTGAACTGGAGAATGCTCCCACGGGGCAGGAGGGGCTGGCGGTCCTCCGCCACGCCGGGCACACCTGCCTCACAGAACGCTCCAGGTGCTTTTCCTGGCGGGGCCTCCGCCGCAGCCCATCACCGCCGTCTGTCAGGGGCCTGGGTAACACATCCAACCACACCGAGTTTTATTCCAGTGGCATTCTCTGACCTCTGTGGGTCATAGTGGCAGTAGCAAGTCAGAGAGAGAGAGAACGAGCACTTAACTTGCTGCCCAGAAGTCGCAACATGAACCAAGTCCTGAGGTGCATATTCAACACCAGTTATGGAAGAAGGGCTGTGATGTCCGAGAAGGAGGGTAGATGCATAGGAACCCCAACCCAGTCGAACCCAGATTCTGACGCGTGCATTGTCTTTGCAGATTATCCAGGCTTCTGTTACGGCCCCGAGGGCGAGGCGAAGGCACTTTCCACCCCATACCGGCCGAGGAGAAAATCCGGTAATTCGAATGTTGTGGTCAAAATGTCATAGGTATGGGAGGGACCAGCCATGAAAGTCCCGTCCAATCTGACCAAAAGGCGTGTTCTTTCCGGTCCTGGAGTTCACGGCCAGTCAGAGTGAAACTGAGGCTGCACTGAGATGGGGCTCTCAGGGTTTTGTTCTAAGACTCTTTTCTACCTCACTCTCTCTTCCCCATCGACTGTAACACATATTAATCAAGTAATTTTGCTTTGCATAGCATCTTACCATCAGCACCCACATACTTACACCCTATGTACTACCACCAGTGAAAACATTTTATCCTGTGACACATAGCCAAAATCCTTCAAACTTAAAATTGTAACACACAGTTGCTGAAACAGACCTCAGATTTTCTTTTTTTTTAAATTTGAATCACTGTTTACTGAATACCTACCTAACCCACGCCGGGGACCAGAATGCAAGAATAAATAATACACATGACTCTGCTTGCAAGGAGTTCATAGTCTAGTGGTGAAGTCAAAAAAAGTGACTGAACACCAGCGCGGGCGGTAGAGCTGCAGCAGAGGTCGGATGGAAGGCCACCTGGGAGTCGAAGGAGGGGTCAGCCCTCCAGGAAGGAGAGAGTGGACTTCAGGGAGCAGTACCCCCGATGGAACCCAGTGGCCGAGGAGGCGGATGGGGAGGGACCAGCTCCTGCAGAGGGCCGGAGACGTGAGACAGCATATCTCAGATGGGACCTCTGTTGCCAGTTGCTCTGAGTGGCTGGAACATGGGGTGGAGCTGGGGGTGGGCGTGGGGGTGGAGGTGGCAAAGTGACACAGAGAGCGATACCTACTGCTGGAGATCAGAGAGAGGCCTGACTGTGGAAGGCTCGTAGGCTACACCCAGTGTTGGAGCTCAATCCTGCGAGCCACGGAAAGATATCAAGCAATGAAATACTTGCCCTTCAAAAACAGAATCCTGGCTCATATGGAAAACGAGGCAGGCAGGGAGACCAGACAGGAAGCTGCCCCTTCGATCTGGGTGAGAGGTGATGAGGCCGGATGCAGACACTAGTGAGTGGGGTGGATCCCCACTGGGGCCCACGAGACTGATGGAGGAAAACTGGGCAAATGTGCGGGTCAGTGACTTGGAGGACGCAGTCGATGACAACCAAGATAAGAAATACAGATGAAAGAGCAGGCATTGGGAAGAGCCGGGGAGCCAAGGCGGAGACACGCTGCGTTGGCTGGGTCTGTGGGAACTCTGGGACATGTCAGACTGGCAGCTGGCCGGTGAGGTCCGAGGCTGGGGACAGGGGTGCAGCCCAAGGGTATAAAATTGAGCATTATCAGCTTATAGGTGGCAGTTACAGCTAAGGGGTTGCCGCACTGGATGGCAGGGCTGGTGTCTCTCCGTGACTCGTGACCAGGGTTTGTCTCACAGCTTTGATGAGGCAAGAGTCTGGCTGCTAAGGATCTCCACGCAGTGGCGATTCAGGTGACTCTGATGGAAAGTATCTAGAGCTGGAATAATTTGCCCAGAAATTAATCATTTACTTGTACAGGAAAAAACTCTCGATTTGGTTTTGCAAGTGACACTGGCCTTGTTTTTTCTCCCAGAACCTTCTTCAAGATCACATAAAGTTTTGAAGACCAGTGGTAAGTCCTAAAATAATCTTTTCTTTTTCATCCTTGTTGATGTTGATTAAATCAAACCATACGCACAAAAAAAAGCACCAGATGAATTACAGATTGACAGACTGGATTAACTTCTACAAGGGGGGACCCCAAAAAACTTGAATTTATTTATAAAAAGTTGTGGTTTTTATTCTTACATGTTTCAACCTCAGTCACCTTCAAAGTACTCTCTGCGTGATGCAATGCACCCATCGAGATGTTTTTTCAACTGCTCAGAACAGTTTTGTTTTTTGTTCTTTGTTTTTTTTTAGATTTTACTCATTTATCTTTAGAGCGGAAGGGAAGGAGAGAGGGAGAGAAATATCAATGTATGGTTGCCTCTCATGCATCCCCCTCTGGGAACTGGCCCGCAAACCCAGGCATGCACCCTGACCAGGCATCGAACCACGATTCCTCAGTTCACAGGCCCACGCTCAACCCACTGAGCCACACCAGCCAGGGCTCAAAACACTTTTTGAACTCATTGATTTTGATGCCTTTTAGTGCTGTGCCAGGATTTGTTTCACCTCTTCCACACCAGCAAAACCTTTCCCTTTGAGGATTTTTTTCACCCACAGAAACAACAAAAAAATTGCTTGGGGCATAATCAGGAGAATAAGGAGGGTGGGGAAGGGCAGTCATGCCACTCTGGGTCAAAAACTGCCGAACACTCAGTGAGGTGTGGACAGGTGTGCTCGTAAATCACCCATCATGAAATGGGCAAACGTGTTGAAAGAGTCTTCAGAAAAGATTCACTGGAGCCGAACGCAGCCTCTCACAACAACACCAGCTAGTGCACTGACACAGATGGGTTCCTAGGACACTCACCTAGTCGGGGAAGCCTGTGCTGCAAGAGGCCCACCCTCCAGAAGATAATTCAGGGGATTTGGGGGTCCTCCTGCCTCATATAAGTGCCCCAATATAAAATGTAAAGCCAAATGATATAAAACATTTGCAATATAGTTAACAGGCATAAAAGGATTAATATCCGTGTTATAAAAAGAAATTTTATGTATCAAACAGACGAGACAAAGGACCCTTTTTTAAAAGAAAGACAATATAACTGGGCAGTTTCACAGAAGAAACACAAACTGCCAATAAAATTTGTAAATGGTCGCCCATGTTAGTAACCAGAAAATTCATACATTTAAATGAGATAAATAGAGGAGGGGAACCATGAGCTTGACCAAAAGATGTAGGAAATCATGCACTTTGAAACTCTTAGCGTGTACATTTCTGCAACTGTTTTAGAGCAAGATGTGGTGATACCCTTTACATTTAAAATGTGCATTACGGGCAATATTCTGCAGCTGTCAGAAAGAAGGAAGCACATCTCTACCTACTGACAAGTGTGTCCACGTATAGTTAGCAGGAAATGCAATGTTGCATGTTGCACCTTTGTTTTAAAAACAAACACTTTGCTTTGTGGTGGGATGGGAGCAGCAGGGAGGGACCTGGCAGTGGGAACATCACACTGTGACGTTCAGTTACCTCCGCTGGCTGGTCCCTTTTTCCTTTGTAGGCTTCTTTAATTAAGCAATTTTTAAAGATGAATTGCACATGATCCAGGTGTCTGTAGCAGTCCCTGCAAGGATTTGGCTCCATGAATCGATCCCTAGAATTCCAGGTGTAGAATTCCAGGTGTACATCGGCACAATGCCAAGGTGACCCTGTTGATAAATGCCGTGTCTTTCTGTTGTAGCCAATACAATGTCTTATGTTTAGATGATTTCCATGGCTATGTGGCATTTTTTCAGGTAATACATATTTGGGGGGGTGGCTTTTGAAACTTACTAACACGAACTGGTCCTTCGCTCTCAGGGATTAGGAATGATGATTCTCAGGTGGATATAAGGTTGTCCTACCCGTAGTGCAGGGCATATAACCAAGATAACTGCAAGGCAGTTTCTGAGAATCTGGTCCAAAGGGCCCAGAAGCCTCTTGGGCTTTAATTACGAACCATAAGTGTAAAAGTCCTATAAAATATGAGTACTTGTATATGAGATACATTTTTAATCCACAAACTTAAAAAAATAACTTTTGTTTTTCAGGAACAGCACAAGACATCCAAAAGGTAAGCACGCTTACGTTTCTTATTTTGAAATGTTTATTTTTATAGGTACTTTTATATATCTCATCTCCAGCCTGTGTTGCAAATGTAAAGAATTATATCACATTTTGAAGGAGAGTTAGGTGAGGACGCATCTTTATTATCTCTCCGGCTTCCTCTCTCAGGACTAAGGCAGTCCCTCCTTCATCCCTCCGCCCCACCTCTCAGAAGCCCTAAGGTTTTCCTAGGACGTGATAGCTGTTCGCCCCACATTGCCCTGGGCCTCTGCCCATGTGAGACCCAGGTGCTTGGGTCCTGGGTATTGCTCCCTTCTCTGAGCTTTAGCCTTCAGGCACAAAGATCCCCTGCTGAGAGCGTGGCCCTCTGCTGGTGTGAGAGGTGGGATCCCATGTCATACAACGCAGTTTTGCTACAGACACTTTTGATTTTTCTTCCTGATAAAAAGCTAGGAGTGGGGAGTAAACACGGCAGGCTCCACTGGAAGATGTGTACCCAGATTCGACTTTCGAAGTGTAGCTGCTGCACCCTGACCGAAGTAAACCTCGCCCCAAATGGCTCCTGGTCCATTGTCTGAATGAACGATTCTTAGAGAAGCAATTGTGACTTCCTGCTTAACGCTCTGTGTCTACAAGGATGTAACTGTCACTGTACCATGCCTTATAGCTCGTGGCCAGGGTGACCCTGTTAACAAAGGCTGCAGCTTATAGTTAGATCCTGTCAAATATCTGAAAATCCATACAGTCTTATCTCTTGGGGATTTTTCTTAAAATTAGGGCAGGGAGGTGTTCTTCAGGTAGGTGCATATTTTTTGTTGTTGTTGTTTGAACACTTTTAAAACAAATCAGCATTAATTGGTTGGTTGTCCTGAAATATGACACGAGATTTAGATTTTTTTTTTTTAACCTAGTCTGTTTTCATAAACAAATGTCATGGTGGGGGCGGGGTGCCCGGCTCTTTAAGGCAGCAAACGGGTGGGGCCAAGCCTGCCGGGCCCTGGGGATGGGGGGTCACTCTATCAGTCCCAGAGAGACAGTCTCAAGAGCTTCTTAAGAAGTTTCTACAACAGAGATCAAGCCAAGTTTCTAAATGGGAAATAGCTAAATTCCATGAAATCTGAAAACAAAAGGGAACTAAAACACCAATGTACTTTTTGCTTAGTGCTAAAATTCCGACTCCTAATAGTACTGAACAGATACACTGAATGCCAGGAGAACAGATTAATGATGACGAAAGAGGTCCTAACAGGACACGGTCCTTGATAATATCTCATCATTTCTCCCAGAATGTATATCCCCATGCCGTGTGTGTATATGTATGTGTCTGTACACACACACACATACACACACAGATGGGGGGCAGAGAGAAAGGTTAAGCGCATACAGAAGCCGTGCACTGAGACGGATGCAAACCCACTTCTGCCACTGACGAGCTCTGTGACTATAGGCAGGCTGTTAACCAGACCAAGACTTAGTTTTCTAATTTACAGAATTGTTACAAAGTTTAAATACGATAATACATTTTTTAAAAGATTTTATTCATTTATCTTTAGAGGGGGAGGGAAGGAGAGAGGGAGAGAAATATCAATGTATGGTTGCCTCTTGTGTGTCCCCTACTGGGAACTGGCCTGCAACCCAGGCATGTGCCCTGACTGGGAATCGAACCCTGGTTGTTTGGTCCACAGGCCTACGCTCAATGCACTGAGCTACACCAGCTGGGGCCGATAATACATTTTTAAAAGTGCTTAGTACAATATTTGGCAGGAAGCAAGTACTTCATACGTGACAGCTATTGCCATATTATTATTATTATTAAATAGCCACAATCTGAGGATGCGGAGCACCAGGGGCGGAAGGGTCACCGTGGCTCCAGTGAGACTCTGGGGTCTAAACTCCGTGCTTCTAGGTTCTGCGCAGCCCACACACGGGTTATTCCTGAACCCGAGGGCTCCTCCCGTCTGCTGACGATGTGCTGGATGTAAAATCTCAGCTTCCGAAGCACTGCTGTCTTCACTTCAAGTGGAATTACCTTACAAACACACTTCGATATTACCAACTCAGGTTTCCTAAGTATCTAAAGTGTCTTGGGATTTTTCTGGGATGGTTTTTAAGACGGTATTATTTTTGGCTATTTACAAAATTGTCTTGCTCTACTTTCAAAGTGTCTGGTTGTGAGTTAGCTAGTTAATACTGACCTGTTTTATTTATAAAATGTAGTTACCAGGCACCTATATTCTATAAACATACCAGCGCGGTCTGGGTAAGATTAAAGGGGAGAAATACCAAAGGGTGAACGAGAGAGATGGAACGTAAGACGGTGTGTAGTTGCGTGGGGGCACGTGAGTCCATGTGTGCACATTCGTTCATTCCTGGACCTCAGAGGGTCCACACTTCTACTCTGCGAAAACATTAATGAACACAAGATTAAATAACTAATTGGATTTTTTTCAGTTTTAAAATTGTAATAGAATAACAACATTCAGGATGAAATTTTATGCTTGCCCTGCCTACTTTTCTCTTCCCTCCCTGACAGATGGGCAAGCAGACAGACAGACATAGTGAGAGGTAGATGTTCCAAGGCAATGTGTATCCCAGGTTCATTGACAAGTAATGAAGACTTCTTGCTCATTTGACATTTCCAATTGGTTACTGCAGTGTTTTGATCAGAAAATATGTCCCTGATAGTAATTATTTTGACCTGGTCTTAGCCCTTCCAAATTAACTCTTTGAAGCGAATCTTTACCCTACAGGGGCCTCAGCGGGCAATCGGCTCCCAGTCTGCGGTACTGAGACCCATCTGCTAGTTATAAAAGACCCCACTGTGTTCTCCGATTAGATGTCATTAAGGTCACTCACAGTTCACTTCCCAATGAGCATCTAAATATTACTTAATTACATGTATTTTGAAAGCCAGTAAAAATGTCAGTAGCTCAACAGTAGATTAAATGACATTTCTGCAACAAAGACCCTTTGCCTAGAACCTATAAACCAAGGCAGTACTAGTCGGATTCATGGCTGGTCTGCAGAGTTGAGAGAAACCCTTGGGACATGCAGTCAGATCACTGACAGGGAATCCTGGGACACCAAAAGCCACATTAAGACTCCTAGGAGTCAAGCCTCATGTACAAACTGGATACTGTGGCCCTTGACATCTATATATGTACATTTATATAATGTTATTTGCCAAGCCCACATCGGAATTATTGGAAGTACCAAGGATGTTTCTGTAGTTAGCTGATTTCCTGCGTTGGGGTAAGGGGTTTGGAGTCAGACCTGAGGTTGAGTCCTAGCCTTTCTACTGACTACTGAGAGCAGGTTACTGAGTTCTTATGAACGTAGATGTCCTTCCCATGAAACTGGTACCATCGTATCTAATTCGGAGTGATTGTGAACATCAAGTTTGGAGGCTGTCTGCAAATGGCCTAGCTCATTTCTAAGCAAATACCAGTCCCTGTCCTTTCTGCCCCTTTTGCAAGAATCTGAAGTGCTTTTCAACTCAGTTAAAATCAACAATGTTTATTGATCATTTTCTTTATGAATGTTACAGTCTAGTGGGAGGGGCAACGTGCAAGTACAGGAGACTGTTGTAAGTGATGTGTCCACGGTGCTGCAATTCAATCAATATGTTTCCATCCTCCTCAGGTCTCTCGAGAGCAAAGGTCTCCCCAGCGGACTTCGGCAGGGCCGTCTCCTGCCCAGAGGAGCGGCCAGCCCAGCGGTTCTGCCATCCTCAGCGTGCTTCGAGGGGGTGGAGCCGTCAGAAACATCTGGACGGACCACCAGATCAGGCAGGCCCTGTTTCCCAGTCGACGGTCCCCACAGGGGCACGAGGACGATGAAGATGATTACCAGATGTTTGTGCCATCCTTTTCCTCTTCGGACTTGAACTCTAGCAGACTGTGTGAAGATAGCACTTCGAGTCGCCCGTGCAGTTGGCACATGGGACAGCTGGAGTCCACAGAGACCACCAGCTCCGGCCACAGGGTTGTTAGGCGAGCCAGCAGTGCCGGCGAGAGCAACACGTGCCCTCCCGAAATAAGAATCAGGGACAGCGATGGCTCTCCGTACAGTCCCCGCAGGGAACTGCAGAATGGCCCTAAAACAGAAGGGCAGGACGGGATGACTCCTTTCGGGTCAGCTATAGAGTTGACCCTTGACGATATAGACCACGTCTATGACAACATAAGTTACGAGGACTTAAAAGTAATGGTTGCTCAACGGGAAGAAGCTGAATCCACTCCCCCGAAGTCAACCAGGGACTCTGTTCGACCCAAGAGCACACCGGAGCTGGCCTTCTCGAAAAGCCAGGCTGGCCACGGGAAGAGCCCTGTGGACACAAACAGAGACAGACCTCTGGCAGGGCAAGAGGCAGCGGACCAAAGCACACGTGAGCTCGAGGTGGGTGAGGAAAACATCTACGACACCATCAGGCTCCCAGACCCACCCTCGCTGGGTTTCAAGTGCAGCAGCCTCCAGCGTCCCAGGAGGAGTACCTTCTTGGGTCTGGACGCCGACTTCGCCTGCTGTGACAGCCTGAGGCCCTTTGTCTCCCAGGACAGCCTCCAGTTCGGCGAGGACGAAACACCTAGCCAGCCAGGGCCCTCTGACGATGACTACTTGAGTCTGCTGTACAACTCTTTCAGCTGCAACTTGCCTCTCGCTGCTGATAAGTCTATATCGGACAGGCTGTCTGAAGAAGTCGACGAAATCTGGAATGACCTGGAAAATTACATCAAGAAAAACGAAGTCAAAGCCAGAGACCGGCTCCTCGCGGCATTTCCCGTTAGCAAAGATGACGTGCAAGACCGGCTGCATGCCGAGAGCACGCCTGAGCTGAGCCGGGATGCGGGCCGGGCCCTGTGGACACTCTCGCTCCCCGAGCGCCAGGCCCTCCTCACGCCGCTGCAGGACAGCCGGGCCAGCTGCCCCTTGGAAGAAGACCTCATATCCAAAGAAGGCTCCTTTCTGAGCCTGAACCAGCTCCCGTTGGCCAGCGAAGTGCCTCCCGTGGAGAACCCATATGACCTGGCCAACAGCAGTCTGTCCCAGACGGACCTTGGCAACCCTGACCCCGGGGTGGACACCACAGACAAGACCAAAAGCAGAGTGTTTATGATGGCCAGACAGTACAGTCAGAAGATCAAGAAGGCAAATCAGCTTTTAAAAGTGAAAAGCCCGGAGTTGGAGCAGCCACCGGCCAGCCAACAGCAAAAATCTGTGCACAAAGACCTGGCGGCCATCCTGGAAGACAAGAAGCAAGGAGGGCCTGCCATCGGTAAGTGCCTCCACACTGCCTTCCTGCCTTCTTCAGAGTCAGATGTGAGAGCAGCTTTCAGGCGCTAGGTGCCCTTGAAACCGTGAGAACGTTGCCACGCAGAGGTACCGTCTCTCAGAGGGAGACCACAGGGTCACTCATGTGGGCTGTCACAAATCTAATTTCCTCCCACCTCTGTAAGCTCTTCTGGCTGGGCTCATAATCAGACTGACACGAGACACATTAGCAGGAGAAGTGTCCGAAATGTACTACAGACGTATGAATATATGTGAGGGTGCCCTAAGGATATGAGACTCAGGACACATTAGGCAGTTGAGGCTTATCTGTCATTCTGGAGCTAAGGAGAAAGCAGGGGAGGGGTGTGGTTTGGGATTTGAAAGGGCAGGAAGACACTGCACATGGAGAAAAGCAATGTTTGGTGAATAAACATCTGGGGAGCCATCATTAACAATGGACACCGAGAACGTTGAACAAATGGGCCTCGGCAGGTCCCTCCCTGTCTGCCACTCATTTTTATTAAACTGTATAATGATGACGCCCTTCTGGAAGCAGGTCCTTTATCTAAATTCTTTCTAGAATTTAGGGGGGAAGTCAAAGCTTTTGCTGGTATCTTCCTTTTCTCAAAAATAAGCAGCTTAAAATAATCAATATCCCCAAAGGGATATTTTGAGGTGGCAAACTGTTTCCTTCGCCAGCAAGCAACAGACCCTCTCGCACTTCACTGACTCACGCGAGTTGGAGCGTGATTTGGTCCCAGAGGGTCTTCGTTGTGCGTGTGTCAGTGTCACTGCAGATCTGGTGTTTGATGAAGTTTTCTCTAACGCAATCTGAACCGTGGGAGATAGAGGTCAGTGTAACCGGCGGCATCTGGAGCTGCCCCCTGGCATCCGTGTGCCTGGAGGAGTAGCTCGGGTGAGCTTTTAAGGTTTGGAAACTTAAGGAATGAAATAGCTCTTTGCTCCAGAATCCCAACAAAAATGCCTACTTGTCATAACAGACAAAAAGGAATCCCTTTTGTATTTTTTTTAACCTGTCCATCCCATCACTCAGTTGTTTTCTTATGTGTTCTGGTTACTAGGTTTTTTTTTTTTTAATAGCTGCTATGATGCACTTAATACCAATGCATATAATGCAGTTGGCATTCTCACACATGCTTCCAAGAAGTTTAATTCTTTTAGTCCAGCCTCCCTGGTGGGGCAGAACTGAACCTGGACCTCAGGTGTGACATTGGTACCATTAGGACTGGGGGAATGAGAAGTGCATGGCTTGACTTCTTTCTCAGTTGTGAAGAAATGCGTACCTCCTGGCTAAATTAGCGCCCTGGAGAATAAAACTTAACTCTGATCTTGGTGGTGGAGCAGAGACGAGAATAAAGCACAGAACCGTCATGAAAAGAGTCCCCTGCCTCCCCCAGGCACTGGCTCTCTCAACCTGAGGACCTTTCACCTCCAGATCCAGAGAGATTTCTGGGGGTGGGCCCAGGACTTAGCATTTTAAACCAATGTGGCGTTTCAATGATATGTGATGATTCCCTGCCCCAGATTTTCTGACAAAGGACCACTTTAGTATCAAGTAAGAGGCAGTTCTCTGATCGAAAGTGAAAGCCAATCGGCTCGGGGTCAGGGTGTGTTCAGATGCTGAGCTTGGCGGCGACATGGCTTCTCTGCCAGGCTGACGCCACTGGCCTCCTTTTCCAGGGACTGGTTTCTTTATCTTCATGGAAACTGGAGGATAAGACGGGGATATCCGAGCCCTAAAGGAATCTACAAGCTACATGACAAGAATCTATAAGGAATTGTTCTTTTTTTTATTTCAAGAGTATTTACAAATTGTCTAAAGCTCTACTCGTTCCCTAGAGCTAACCATGTAACAAAATTTCTTAACAGATAGGGAAGTGAAGCCCTGGAACTATTACCTGAAAAACTTTACACTCTCCTTGAGATGTTCGTCTTTTAAAATAAAGGTTAAAAGTGACTTTTGTAGGAATGTGAGAGAGACTAGATCGCATATATTTTTCTCTTTGCAGAAATATGGGTGGCTTAATTCGTGTCCCCTTTGCAATGCCAGACTGCCTGGCTGGTTTGCTGGGATACCTGGAAAACGGGGCTCAGCCCCAGCTGCAGGACCGTTTTGGGGGGCACAGGTGGCATGGGGACCAGCAGTGAATTGGCAGTGCAACCACCAACTGAATCCGGGCTGGGGCTCCCCAGAATGAGAGAAAACCAAATACCGAAGCTTCTAATGATGACGCCTTATGCCGGGAGCCTGTTGAAGGGGTGGCCCTCCCTGAGCCAGGTTGTTCTGAACATAGACTATCCATTAAAACGCACAACTCAAGCCTGATAGAAGCAGGTCCTTCAGTACTGAGTCCATGGCTGATCGCCACCTTGAATGGTCTCCTGTGGGACCCTTCTTCTTTTAAGTACAAATGGATTTCCCTTTGCGGTTTTCTTTTGCTTTTCACTTTCGGTTTGTCCTGCTTTTTGTTTTGCCTGCGGGTGTGTCTTGGGATCCACAGACACTTTTCTCAGCTTTGCGTCTGGGTCCTTTCTCGACCCCGGTGGGCTGCTGTCAGGTTCTCCCCAGCAAAGAGGAGAAGCTCTCGCCCATGACATCTTCTGAGAGTGGAGTCGTCCCTAGGCCTCCGGCCTCTCCGACCCGAGGAATCTTCCATCTGGGTGGATCGAGACCACTTCCTGTGCCCATAAGGCTTTCAATCAGTTGACGTGACGACTCCTTTTCTCTCTCTTGTTTATCTGGGCACAGGACATCGTAATCGAATGGACCGATTCTCCAGACTTCTTCGTATGGGCCTTGCCACTTTGCCAGGAGCTTGCTCTCGGTGTTGTCCAGAAGGAGGAGCACCCTATTCACCTGCTGAGACTCTCGAGCACCTTTATTGAACTCTCTAGCCGGGGTCTACAGGCCCCGGGTCAGATCCGCCCAGAACTCACCCAACCAGGTCTAGTCGCTCCTACCTTTTAGAGCGTGACGTAGCTCGTTGGCCTTCCTCCTGATAGTCCTGGAGGCCAGCGAGGCCTGGGGGTCCCTTTTCTGCGATGTTTTACACGGGAGGAAATGCCTTACAGGCTTCAGGAATCTTCCTCCTGGGGCAAAGCAGGGAAGGCAAAAGAGCATTTTATGCAGCAATATCGGACACACTGACTTTAATCCTCTTGTTGACATACTTCTGTCAACAAGCATCCCCTCCAATTTTTATCTGGAGTCATTAAAAATCCCACCTTTTAAACTCACAAAAGAAACCAGAGGAAGCCTTGGGGTCGTCACATAATGATAATGTGCAGGTTCTATAAAGACTGTAGTAGCAGAACCCAGGATGGGGCAGACTTTGATCCAGCTGGTACTAAGCTTTTTAGGCTGGCTATTTCCTACCCATCTGGCTCAGGAAATCTAATGACAGCTGTTGCTCTGGAAGCTTCTCTCTCATGCACTTTGGTATCAAGCAAGTTATAGTCACTCTTAGAAGGTCAAGCTTAAGACCAAAACAATAACAAAACAAAACTTGGATAGACACAGTATGTTGTCTACCTGTGAGATACTTTGTATTCCGAATGTATACGGCCGACCTTTTTATTATCCAAAAACAAATTGTATGCATTATGAGTTACCTATAGGGAGCGTTTTAATCAGAGGTCATCTTCCTGTTTCCCCGTGTCCTGCTACACACCCCAGTTTCGAGGCTGCCTTTCCACTCTTGGTGGCATGGTCTCGGGGGAGGCACACCCCTTTCCAGCACCATAGTGAACATGGAAGGAGGCAGTTATCTGAGTGATGAAGTAGTTCCTGAGACCTGTTTCCGGCCCAAACCGTGTGTGGGGCTCTGTAGAGATCGTTCCCCAAGATCAAAAGCTCGAGGACTAGCTGGAATAGTAAACTAACCCACATAGAACAATAAGCAGCACAAGAGTATGTATGCACGCAGGCACGTTTGTGCATTTGCATAACCAATAACTTACTGTTGGTTGCACACTAAGTATATACAAGTGCATACAAAGTATATAAGACTTCAGAGAAGAGAAATCAGTTCAAAGAAGATTCAGGGAAGGGGTAGAGCTTATGAGCTCATGGAGGGTTTTGAGAGGTAAATAGGACTTTATCAAGCAAAGGAAGAAGAGTATAATAAGGGAGAAAAAGCCTGGGAAATAGTACAGATATTTTAAATGACACATGGTTTCAGATTATCTGAGCCACCGTGTTCTAAAGTCAAGAACTAACTGTTCTGACAAGACTCTGTGGGTACATCTGGGTGCAGAACAGTGTGACCAGATTTTTAAATTAGCTCTCACTGCTTTCCCCGAAGTTGTTATCTTCTTAGAACCTTGTGGAAGCTGAGAGCCTTCCCAGTTCAGCTGTGGGGTCAGGCCCAGGACCATGATGTAGATGAGAACGGCTTGGGCAGCACCCTCGGGCTTGCGGGTCGGACCGCTAACCAATGATGATATCTAGAGGTCCAGATGCCTTTGGTTGGGTTTCAGAGTTACTAGTACACATGTTATATATATAATAAATATAGACTTCAGGATACATCTGTAAATATATATTATATATAATAAGTATTATAGATATCAGGAGGGTTAACAGGGGTACTTTCAATCTCCTAAGGGGTTGTCAAATCTTAATTGGTATTGAGAGTCTTTACTATGCCCTTTAAGGAAGGCGTAATAGTCAAGCATTTACTACTAGAAAGTCTTAGCTAATAACCTCTGTCCTGCCAAGGAATTTGGATTTGAAAACCTAAACAAACTGGTATAGAACCTATAATGAAAGTTAAACAGATTATTTACCCTGATTTGGGGGACCAGGTAGCAAGTAATTTGAGGGGATTGCAATTAGAGGGCACACAGAATAATAGCCGGTTGTTTTCTGTCCTCATTGAAAATAGACTCAAGAGAAATGGCAGAAATTGAACTAAAAATTTAGTTTAGATTACGGGATAATTTACTAACAACAGTTTACTAAAAATATAAATAGCTTAAAGAAGAAAATATAATGTCACTTGCTGACTGTCCTGTATGGGATGGAGTCCCTCCTTAGAGACTGTGGAGATGTGGTCTGAGTGATTTATAGGGTACATGGAATTCTTTGATTCTAGGGTAGCCATGAAAGGTAACTGGTTGGGGGTTCAGAGGGAAACTGCTCTTAAAATTGATATCTCTGGGCTCTCTCTCTTAAATCATTCCTGGCCCAAGAGAATGTTCTATTCATAGCAGGGTTCCATTAATGTCTAGAAAAGTCTGCACTCAGAAGCAGAGCAGAGAGTGGCCTTATAGATTACTTTGAAGTGGCAATAGCTTTTGTGGAAATAATGGACAAATCCTGTTCTGGAACCAGTACGAGAAGCAGTAGAGTATCGATTACATGCACAGATCGTTCATCCCTAATGTTTTGGAAGCAGAGACTTCGGGGCCCGTCTTCCTGGTGATGGGAAAGGATAGATGGGTCAATCAGTGCCTGCAGTTCTGAGGTGCTGGGAGAGAGGACCCCCCCCCCACCATGGACATTGTCTCCCCAGACAGTGGCTGTGGAGGGTCTGCCCAGAAACAAGGATTTTGGGAACAGATGCAGAGAGCAGATTCTTCTGAGAGTAGCTGCCTGAGAGCAGTGAAGACTGGTGAGGACCCAGGGTGGCCACCGCGTGGTGAATTGCAGTCAGTTTCTCATCATGGCTACTCCTTTTTCATTGGCCTGGGTTTAGCGCTGACTTCCTTATTTGTATGATGTTTGTTTTTAGTGCTGACACTATTTCATGCTTAGAAGGAACACTAGAAATTTTCACAACAAATAGCAAACACTTACAGACCTACTGTTGAAATAAAATAGTCTACAATTAGATCAAAATAAATGAACGTTTAGGTGGCATTTTTATTTATTAAACTGTGGATTATTTTATTAGTTCGTATTGCTTAGTAGTCAGTGGTTAGTCACCCTCAAACTTAAAAAGTCCTGTCGACTGTTTAAATTTTTGAAATAGGTTGGAAGGTTATGTTCTTGTTTCTTTAATCTTCTCATGTAGGAATAATCCTGTATTTTTGTTTTGATATTTGCCTTCCAGGCGCCAGAATCGCTGAGTACTCCCAGCTGTATGACCAGATTGTATTCAGAGAGTCGCCCTTTAAAACTCAGAAGGATGGCTGGGCCAGCCCTCAAGAATCCTCCAGCCTCAGAACTAGGTCACCTTCCCAGGCCCAGCGTGGTAGTGAGGACTGGCTTCTGCATTCAACGTATAGTAATGGAGAATTAGCAGATTTCTGTCCTCAGCTGGAGCGAGACTTGAAGCCGAAATATCCCACTTTGGAGCTCAACACAAAAAGTGCTCCCAGACACCTGTCCACAGCTTGCTCCGTACCTTCTCTTCAAACCCCAGACCGCCTGCTGGGGCCCCTGCAGAGACACAGCGTGGTCGTCAGCCAACCCAACAAAGAGATCTCGTGTCCGGGCCATCTTTATAACTCTTTGGGTCGGAGAGGAATCAGTGCGAAGTCTCAGCCTTATAACAGGTCTCAGTCCTCTTCCTCCATCTTGATAAACAAGTCAGTGGATTCCATCAACTACCCCAATGAAATGGGAAGCAAACAGCTGCCATCTTTACACAAAGGTCCCAGGTGTGAGAGTCACCAGGAGTTGCTGCCAGGGATGGGTGACTCACGTCCACAGGATCCTGGAAAACGCTCAGACCTCACTCTCCAAGACTCACAGAAAGTTCTGGTAGTAAATCGAAATTTACCTTTAAATGCCCAAATGGCTACCCAGAACTATTTTTCCAATTTCAAACAGACCGAAGGCGACGAAGATGACTATGTGGAAATAAAGTCAGAAGAAGACGAGTCTGAGTTAGAGCTGTCTCACAGCCGCAGGAAGAAATCGGACCCAAAGGCAATGGATGCTGACTTTCCCGATGATGTGGGCCGCAAGGACGCGTCTTACTCTTTGAACAGTCCGAGCACTCCCAAAAAGCCAGTGAGTGGCAAACTGGGGGCTTCTCCCTACCTGACACCATACAACGAACCCGACAAACTGAATGACTATCTTTGGAGGAGCCCGTCTCCCAGTCAGCAGAACATTGTCCAGAGTCTGAGGGAAAAATTTCAGTGTCTTAGTTCCAGCAGCTTTGCCTAAGGTTCTCAGTAGTGGCTGCCCGAATTAACTTCCTCCCGTGCTCGAGAGTAACAGAGCCTGACAGGCGTTTTATATGCCCCACATTAAACAGTTTTGTAATGACCAGAGGTGTAAATGTACTTCCTTTTGCAGCACAACTTTTCGGAACGGCTGACGACCCAGCCGGGATTGTACTGTAGCCGATGTCAGCATCTCTGTGTTTTCTAATGCTGGTTGTCTTCCTGTTTCATGTAAGTCAGTTTTACTTGAAAATGTCTAGGTTTTCTTTTTTTAATAAGATGGCAATATCTTTTCCCCATATTCTGACAGTAGTGCCCACACTGTAAGAAATGCAATATTCCTTTCATTATCCAGAAGCCACGAGTAGTTACATCTTAGAACTGACTCATTAGAGGCAGCCAGGAAGCTCCTCCCTGTTTTTAAAAGGAAACTAAAGCTGTTTAAAGGATTATGCTTATTATCTCCGGCAGTCTGGTTTCATCTGTGGCGAGAGCCTAGACTAATTGAAGCTGAAGATCTCTAACTGGACTGTAGTCCATGGTGCCCATTTTAGGGTTTCTGTTCTGGTAACCCTACATCAGTTTATCGGGATGCAGAACTGGTGTAACTATTGGAAATTAGAATGTAATGAGACCAATTTTCAAAAACAAAAACCTTTACCCGGATTCCTGGAAATGCCTCAAGAATGTGCTGCTCATCACATTTATTTTACGATTTCTAGGGTGTAACAAATTATTCTTTCAATGGCTTAGAGGAAACCAAGGGCAAGAAAATGCAAGTTGACTTAACTGTTAGAAAAGATGGGTTGACATCTGGGAACAGCTTGATTATCTGCTCATGTATCAGTGGAAGGGCTGGGACAAATAAGGACCAGTCTGACTATTTTTTTGTGTCTGCCTCTGATCAACTCAAAGTAAACCACAAGTTAAAAATACAAAAAAGCACTTTAAAGTTCCCCTTTCCAGAGCCATTTTTCCCACCTACTTTGCTGACTTTTGTACTCAGCCGAATGACCTCATCTCGGCCTGCAGGGTTTCCTCCACGGCCATGAGATTCCTTCCCTACAGCAAACAGAGTGGAGGTGCTTTTTCCCATTGTCCTGAGGTAAATAAGGGAAGGGAATCTTTGGTGAACAAGTTCTGGCTGATAACATCTTTCATGTTGTGATTCTGGTCTTTAAGTCGCCGTTGGAGTGATAGGTTGGGTTACTCTAACTCTCTATGGAGGGAAACTAAAAACAAAAGCAAAACCCTGTGAGTAAAAGGCAAAACCAATGAGGCTAAAGAGGAACATGAAGGCAGGTCGGTGGTTCCTTTATAAAAACACGATTTCAGTGAAGACCCAAGAACGTCTCTCCAACAGCGGCTTCTGCAGCCTCACTTTAAGCAGTTTTACACCTGCGGCCCTCCTCCCCTCCCCTCTGAGTTTTCACTTTGAAAGACAGGATAGTGAGAACAGAAGAAGGGGTCTGGGCTCTGCATCTGAAGGTGAGCAAGGATATATCGATTTGTATCAGTGACGCCTTATTGTTGAGTTATCGCCATTCCTTTCCCCTTTTTAAGCCCTGTGCCTCTTTTTCTTAACTGTAAAACATAAAACGTTACCACCATTACTGTGCAAACAGGTACCTAAGGCATTCGTTTTTCTTTTTCAATAACAAAAAGTAACCCAGGTTTCTTGCTTCTCCACACGATTCTTCTTGTAGCTTCTAAAACAAAGTCCACACTGAATGGCATGGTTCTGGGGTCATTTCTGCTTTCCATTCCTTTCTTTAAATGTGTTAGGAGCTTTCAAGATCAGCAGTATCAGCAAAGACCAGCACTGTGAGAAGACATTTTCTTAGACTCGCTGGGGGTCCTTGTCAGTGCGCGGAAAACAAAGTTACCTAACTCTTCTTGCCCCAAGAATGCAGTCGTGCCCTTTGCCTTTTCCTTTCTGTGACCAAAATTCCACCGAGTCCAAATTGCTGTGGTGTCTTTCTCGGGAAGGATTCATTCTTAACACCAAGGCCTTGGTGACAGCTTTGATATCCCCCCGTGGGAATACACCCCACGGCCAGTGTGGAGGTTGTACTATAGAAAATGTCTATATGGTCCTCTTTAGTTCCTGGGACAGATCTCTAATTTTATAGATTGCATCTGTCACCAGGATGCAGATTTTGAGAGCCGTGTGTGTATATATAAAATCATGTTTGTATCTTTCCTCAAAGTTATCCATTAAGTGCTTTTGTTTGAAATAGTTGGTTTTGGAGGTGGGGTGAGGCTGTATACAACTGAAGAAAAAGGGGTATATGTACTTCAAAATATGTCACGTTTTTATTAGGTCTGTGTACTGAAGGTTGAAGTTTTTTTATCAGCTCACTTTTCTCCTACTCTATTCTTTGTGCAAAAAAAAAATTCATCTAAGAAAACATAGTTTAAATATTGTATATAAGTTCATGAAAGTAATGCTCATTATTTAATAAAGTTTATAAAGTACAAAGTTACTTCCAGTGTGAATTAATGTGCTTACTCTAGAAAGGTCAACCTTTCTCCAGACTACATTTAGTTAAAACACTTTGTTTTGCCTTACGATCCGTGCAGGGAATGGCTCTGGGTGATGACAATTCACCACGTTTCAATGACTGACCATTTTCTGTACTTTTGAAATACTGAATTTAATTTCTTGGGTGGTATTTGTTTTCTTCACAGGGGCTAAGGTAGATGTGTCGCTAGGTTATCATTCATCTTTTTTCTTTTTCATTTGCAGTAACGGGACATCCTTTACCTATTTTATCATTGAATTAAAAAATTAATATAAAATCTTTGGACAAAAATTAAGGTTTCTTTCATGTATAATATTTTTCAGACCATAAGACACACCTAGACTTTAGAGGAGGAAAATAGGGGAAATTTTTTTGAAGCAAAAAATGTGGTAAAATATTTAATAACATACTATTTCACCAATGTAAATGTAAACAGAACTCAACAGCAGCATTAACAAGCATTATTCCTCCCAAATTTGAGCAAAAAAACATGCATCTTATAGTGCAAAAAATACCTTCATGTAATTTCATGTTCTGGATTTTTTTGATACACAAAATGTTGTAGAGAACAAAAGCATGTTGATATGAATTGATAATTATGGACACTTTCTAAAGCAATGCTATTTCCAAGTATAAGTAACAACCTACTCCAGTAGAATGAAAATGTATGTTGCCTGACTTCCTCATTCAGAGAAAAATGGCTGTACATTTTTCTTCAGAGTGTTTTAGAGTCAAGAGTTCCCAACGTCACACCGAGGACCCATGAGACTTACCAAATCTTCTCCTTCTACCTTAAAGTTGAAAGTAGTTAGGGGCTTTAAAAAAAAAATAACTCACAAGAATTCAATTTAGAGACAAAAGTGACAGTAGGAGAAAACCATGTCCTGCGTAAATTCTGTATATAAATTATAATCCTAAAGCAAAGAAAAAAATCTTAAAAAACAACAGGAGGAAAGTGAGCTATAAATATAGCTGTTAAAGATGCATATTTAATAACGTTTGTCTTAAGTTTTCTTTGGTAAAAACTTTTAAAATTTCTGTTTTGAAAAGCAAATATTAACACCGCTTCACGAGCTCTTGCAACCAGGCTGCCTTATATAACCGCCTCCATCTGGACGGTGCTAACCACACTCAACTCTATCAGCCAAATCGGATTACAGGAAAAGAAACTGCTTCAACATTTTTTGCTAGTTTACGTATGTGTCTACGTCCTTACCTTTAACTTTGTCTTATGCATAAGACCTGAGACTTTCTTACACAAGCTTTTGCAAAGTTTTTTGTTTTAAAAAATGTATGAAGACATAAGCATTCTTTCACGTTTCATGTCACGTTTTTCTTTCTTTACAAGTAGTTTAGGGCACGGAACACCAAGAGGTGACTGTGAGATCTGAGGAGAGAATCTAAAAGTGAAAGTCACCCTAAAGGCTAAGGACTTGCCTTTCCTTTGGGGACACTTCCTTTGTCCTCCATTATAGACTTTGTCAGCACATTCAAAGCTACCCCCAAGCACTTGAATGGAAATTTGGTAGATAGCAAGTAAAGGCTCTCCTCTTAACGTAAACATATGTCATAGCAGGTCTGCAGAACCTATTGCTCCCTCAGGGAAGACTTTGCACCTGGTCCACTTAGCTGGTTTGTATTAACTGCCTGGCCTCTGTAAGCCTCAGGACCTGCTCTGTTCTCCAATATGAACCCACCCAAGGCTTCAACTCATATGTATTCTCTGTCTTCTAAACCACGCTGTCTAGCCTAGACTTGCCTCCTGCATACAAAGGACTTCTACTATAGCACATCTCCACTCGAGCCGTCCTTCTACCCAACCCAGGGCTCCTTTGGTCCTCTGAATCTTCTCTAGCGTGACTTGCTTTCTTGGCCGAAGACCAGAGCTTCCTCACTGGTTGTCTTGCCACTGCCTCCCCCACTTCCAGACTCGTCCACCTCCATCCTAATCTTAACCAGCAAAACATTCCCCAAACACAAGCAGAAGCAAATCCTCTACAAAGCCCTCCCAAATCTCTCTCTGCCTCCACAGGAGCTGCACAGCCCCTGTCATCCAGGAGAAAACCTGCAAGGTCCTCACAGCTCACAAGTTACTGCTAAGAACTTCGGGGTCCTGGACTGTACTCCAAGCTAACCAGTTAGCCTGCCTCCACGGCATGGATGCTGGCAGAAGACACGAGGTTCCTAGGTCAGAAATAAAGGACGTTATCACTCCCAGCACAGCAAGGAGCATGAGCTTCACATTTGTGTTGCTCCTCCAGGCACCAGCCCAGGGGCTTAGTGCACACACTCGAGGTTTGCTTTGTTTCACAGCTGGGGAATCCTGAATTTAGGAACCCCCAGTTCAGAGCTACTAGCATACCTGCCTGATCTTTGACCCTGGGGAAGTACATTACCTTTACTCCTAGTTAAAGGGCAGACCTCTGTCCCAGAGGGAGACACTATCTTCTAAGTCTGTTTGCTATACAACTGTCTTTGCAACAACAGCTGGAACAAAACTAATATGAGACAGGAAGAAATGTGAAATGCAGAAGACCCATAGAGAATTGTCTCAGAACAATCATGTAATTCCATGGCATACAAATTTTTAAAAAATTATTACCCCAAAGTGTCAAGGATGGAGAAAAAAGATGGTTTCTACCAATTAGGAGAATATAAGTCATAAATATCCATTTTGCAGAAATGAACTTAGTAATATGGCTCAATTACATTGAAATTCATAATCTTTGGCTCAGTAATTATACACCTACTAATTTATTCTAAGGATATTATGGGTGGGGTTAAAGACATATGTGCCAACGGTCTCTACCTGTGGCCGTCCCTGCAGAGCTGGGTGGTGATCATGTGACTTTGCAGACCAGAGTGGGTGTGCGTCACCTGCACTAGAGACCAGGCTGGTCAGTGCCTTCTGGGGCCTTGCTCTCCATCCTAAACACAGAGCCCAGGGCCGGGCTACTCCCTGGGAGCTTCAGAAAAACCGTGTTAAACGCAGAGCTTCTAAGTCCAAGCAAGTCATTCAAGCCTCAGGCAGCCCATCCTGGGAGACCATTCTTGTCCATCAAGCACTAGAACTGCCGTGGAAGTGGGACCCTTGAAAAGTCCAAGTACCCTCACTATCTTCCTGACATTTGCCGGGTCTGTCTCTTCAGCCTTGGGACCACTTCTGTCTCCACGCTTTGTATCCCTGTTATCCTGGGCCCCATCGCCAGATGCAGGCCCCTCTGATCACCTTTTCTTCTTCCCGTCCCCATCCAGCTTTCTTTTCCCTGAACCAGCTTCTCACCCCCAACTCATCCTCCCACACCCCCTCCCTGTGTGCTCCGGACCCCCCAGGGTCCGTGCTTACATCCTCCCCATCTTAAGAGGAGGCTCTTCCTTCTCCTACCACCCAGCACCTCAAGGTTAGAGGCGGGGCCGGCCCTGTCCTGTACACCAGACTTCTGCTCATGCAGTTCCTCCTACTCAGAACACTCATTGCCAGCAGCTTCCTCCCCTTGGCCAGACTCCTGAATCATCCTTGTGTGTGTACTGCCTTCAAGTGAATCTCCTCTGGGAGGCTCGTCTTGACTCTCAGGTCTAGGAAGGTGCCTGTTCATGGTGCTCTCACAAACTCGGGACCATCACACTCATCACTGTCATTAATATGCCTGTGTGCCCTACGGTCCCACACCGTGAACTCTGTGTGACCTGGGCTGTGCCTGTCTCCTGCAAGTTATTCCTTAGCTACATGCCTAGCACAGGGCCCACTATGGAGCAAATTCTCCCTATATATCAGGAGATTATATATATATATATCCTCTCCCTCCCACCCTCTCCGCAAGATAGACACAAGGTCTGGCACAAATAACACCCCTTGTTTATTACAAACTCATTTATGACAAAATCATAAGCATGTGATTCTATAACATAACAATATCACAGCACACCACATGACATTTCAGGTGAAATGTTCAAGTTAAAACTATAAACGATTACACCCATATTATTACCCAACCAACCATACCCAAGCAGGGACCCTGCATGTATATCAGTTATATATTCCTTATACTGAAAACTTCCTTCGACATATGTCCAAATGTTATCTTAATCATAGAATACACATACAGTACAATTCACCCATTTAAAGTGTACAGTGCAATGAGTTTTTGAAAATTCACAAATTTGCTCTGTGGCTATCATCACAATTAATTTTAGAATATCCTTATCACCTCTGAAAGTAACCCTGTACCCATTAGCTACTGCCTCCTAGTTCCCCCCTTCCCCCCACCTCCAGCTGCAAGCAGCCACTAACGATTTTTGGGTCACTACAGACTTGTCTATTCTGGATATTTTCTACAAAGGGATCATACAACACATGTCTCCACAGTCTTTTTAAACATCACTATTGTCAGCATGGGTCAGGTGGAGGGGCAGATTGTCACTACCATGGTACAGTTAGTACTGGAATTTCCTGAGTTTTCCTGGATTTCAAAAAATAAAATAAAATGAAAAGACTATTTGGGGAGGAATGTTTTAGGTTCAGCAAAATTAAGAGGAAGATACAAAGATTTCCCGTATACCCCTATCGATGGGGCAATCTTCATTCTTGCAACAAGTGGTCCTTATTCAGCTGTGTCTAATGAATGTTTGTGAGATGAACGGTCCCGATTCATGATGAGATAAATAAGCCTCCACTGGGTTTTACGACTTGCCTGAGCATTACTTCGGTGACTTTGTTTCCTTCTGTGTGAAATTGTGTTAACACCTACCTCATAGTAGGTGAGGTTAACTATACCTATATCCAAAAGTCACTGGCTGTCAGATGTGCCAATCATCCTACAATGAAAAATATGTAAGATTAAAAACATGTTTGTTGAAGTCAGGTAAACTCCCAGCTCTGCCACCCCCCCCCCAAAAAAAAACAACAACAAGTGACCCCTCTGGTCCTGTTTCCCAAGATTGAAAACCAGGACAAAACTCAACTCATTACATTTTTTAGGATTAAAGGAAGGTGTATCTCCAGCATCCAGTACAGTGTCCACAGTAGCTGATGGAAAACCAGTGTCTGTCATTTCAACTAGTTTTATTCCCATTTGGGAATTACAATACTGATAAGATTATGAACAGAGTATCACTTTGAGGCTCACAGAGGTTAAGTAACTTGCCTGAGGCTTACAAAGTCAGCATTTGAATTCCAAGGCCCCGCATTCTACTCTTAGGGCATTTCAGGCCTAATAAACCCAAGCCCTGGTCTGCAAGCCTGACCAAGCGCCTTTCCAGGAAGCAAACTGCCGCCTGAAGGCAGGGTGGCATCAGCATCCTAGGCAGGAGCGGGGCCTGAGCGACAGTGACAGAAACCCTGAAATTGCAGCCTGGCCCCTCTAACCGGCAGCCGGTCGTCCCTCAGGCCCCCGCCCTCCCAGCCGCGCCGCATCTCGGTGCAGTGCCCCCTAGGGGCTCCAGCTCGCTGGTGGAGGAACAGAGAGATCCTGGCTGTCACCGCTGGTTACCCACCGGACGCGAGGCGCCAGCCTGGCCCCCCCGCCCCACCCGCGGGAGGAACTCCCCGCCGCCACGCCTCCGAGCCCTGCCTGCGCATCTCCGCGTGGCGGGCGGAGCTGCCGCCTCTCGCTCCCGCCGCCTCGCCGCCTCTTGCCGCACCTCTCCCGCCATGAGCGCGCTCCTGCCGCGCTTCCTGCGCCGGCTCCGCTGCCCGCTGCAGCCCGCGGGCCCGCCGCGCCGCCTCCGAGTGCCCAGTCGCGCCCGCTGCAACGGCGGCGGCGGGTACGGCGGGGTCGAGGGCCTGCTCGGGCAGCGGCGGCAGCGGCGCCAGCAGAACGCCCAGGCCGGCTGCAGCCACGGCCCCGGCAGCCGGGCGTCCCCGGCGCGGAACTCGTTCGTCAGGTGAGTGTCCGGCGCTCGCCGCCGCCCGCGTCCCCAGCGGCAGCGGCCGGAGCGCTCAGATCTCGGCGGGGTCCCTGGGATCTCCGTAGGGGTGGGGGGCCGTCGCAAGACGCCGGGCGACGAGTGCTTGGTGCCAACTTATTACGGGCGCGGGCGGCGAGATGCACGCAGGCATCCCCGGCGGGTATCGCGCAGCTCCGACTACACGTGCGCCGGGGTCGCTGGCTCTGATGCTGCCACGCGGGGCGCGGCCCGGGCAGGAAAGGGCGGTGCGGCCGAGGAGGAGGAGAGGCTCCCGCCTGCGAATCGGGATCGGGGACGCGGCGGGCCCCCGGGCTCCGGAGAGGAGGCGCGGCCCAGGATCCGTTCCGGCCCACGCAGGGGCCGGGGGTCCGGGCAGGCTGCCGGCGGCTCACTGTGGGGTGAAGTTTGTCTCTCCCGAAACGCCGCCACTTCCTGCGGGTGAGCGAGCGCGCTTTGGAGTTACATCATCTTTTGGGGGCAACTTAACATGGAGCCGAGCGCACCCAACATTGTAAGCGGGACAAGGCCGGAGATGTCCGGGCTGACGGGCTCCCAGCAACGCGGCACTGTGTGCGGGGAGTTCCCTGCGCAGCTATTATTTCAGAAGTTCTTTCCCTGCGAAGAAGCAAACTGTGGGAGCCCGGGGCCAAGTCTTCCCCGGACCCCGCCAGAGAGCCCTGTGCGCCAGCCTTCCCTAGACACACACGCCTCCACCCGCCAGTCATCGGTGCCCCTGGTCCCTCTGGGAAAGAGGGAAGAGCCGTGTTGGGCCCTTTCCGGGAAGTGTGTGATCTGGGCAGCGGTGTCCAAGCTTCTGGCATCTCTGGGCCACACAGTAAATGTATTGGAACGTGTAATCACACAAAAAAATCTCAATGTTTTAAGCAAATTTACGGTTTTATGTTGGGCCATCCTGAGCCACATGTGTTCCGCGAGCCACAGGTTGGACACCCGACTGGTAGAGTGAAGCGCTCAGACCTGCCGGGAGGTGGTGGGAAAGCCTGTACCTGCCTCGGGGACTAGGATTCTTGGATCCGCGTCCCTTGGCCAGCTGTTCCGCCTCCATCCATTCACATCCTCTCTTCTCCTTCCTTCTAACAGTCATTGCCAGTTGCCTCGCCTCTCTCCCATTCCCCAACCCCTGTTTCCAAGGCTCTTTACAATGTGAAGGATGACTCTCAGGAGCCCTTTGCTTAATTTACCTGGTCATCATTCCGAATGTTGTAGTTACTTGAGGCCTTTTCAGGTCATTGGATTTTAACCAGTACAGAGCTTAGCGGGTGAGGGTCTGAAGACATTTATTGTGGGAAAGCTCTTTGGGGTTAGGGGCCTTGTCTGTCTTCCACTTGCTAGATCCGTCCTCCTGGACAGTGTCTGGTATAAGGGAGGCACTCGTGGCATGGCTAATAAGCGAATGACTCTAAACTTGGGGTCATTCGTGGGTTTTATTCATGCTTCCTTTCATTGAAAACCATGACTGACTCAGAACGGCCAGTAGGGGGCCTGGGTGAGGATCCTGCTGCCCCGCACGGCCCGCCTCCATCCCTCACTTCAGTGCAAGATGTGGGTTCCAGAAGAGAACGGAGACAAGATGCACAGTTCAGGGACTGTCGTCACGTACCGAGGCCTCAACAGATGTTGGCCCTTATTTTTATTTATTTTTACAGCGTTCTAAGCCAGGGTTTGGAAAACTTAGGTAGCCAATATTTTAGAATCTGCAGTCCAGGGGGAAAATAGAAGATATTACATAGGTATGTTTTTGTGAGAAAAGAACACAACTTTGCCATGTTTTATTGGTGAAATTTAAAATTGTATTTGTAGATACTAATATTTGAATTGTACATAATATTCACATGTCCCCAAATATTATTATTTTGATATTTTTTAAACCCCATCTTTAAATATATTTATGGATTATACTATTACAGTTATCCTATTCCCCCCTTTACTCCCCTCCACCCTGCACACCCCTCCCACCCGCATTCCCCCCCACCTTTAGTTCATGTCCATGGGTCGTACGTGTAAATTCTTTGGCTTCTACATTTTCTTTACGATTCTTGCCTTCCCCCTGTCTATTTTCTACCATTTATGCTACTGATTCTCTGTACCTTTCCCCCTCTTTCCCCACCCACTCCCCCACTGATTACTCTCTATGTGATCTCCATTTCTGTGATTCTGTTCCTTTTCTACTTGTTTGCTATTTGTTGTTTGTTTGTTTTAGGTTCAGTTGTTAATAGCTGGGAGTTTCTTGTCATTTTACTGTTAATATTTTTTATCTTCTTTTTCTTAGATCCTTTAACATTTCATATAATAAGGGCTTGGTGATGATTAACTCCTTTAACTTGACCTTATCTGGGAAGCACTTTATCTGCCCTTCCATTTTAAATGATAACTTTGCTGGATAGAGCAATCTTGGATGTAGGTTCTTGCTTTTCATGACTTGGAATACTTCTTTCCAGCCCCTTTTGGCCTGTAAGGTTTCTTTTTGAGAAATCCGCTGATAGTCTAGTGGGAACTCCTTTGTAGATAACTCTCTTCTTTTCTCTTTCTGTTTTTAAGATTCTCTCCTTATCTTTAATCTTGAGTAATGTAATTATTATGTGCCTTGGTGTCTTCCTCCTTGGGTCCAACTTCTTTGGGACTCTCTGAGCTTCCTGGAATTCCTGGAAGCCCGTTTCCTTTGCCAAATTGGGGAAGTTCTCCTTCATTATATTTTCAAATAAGTTTTTCATTTCTTGCTTTTCTCCTCCTTCTGGCACCCCTACTATGATTTGGATGTTGGAACATTTAAAGATGTCCTGGAGGTTTCTAAGCCTCTCATTTTTTAAAATTCTTGTTTCTTCATTCTATCCTGATTGAATGTTTCTTCCTTCTGCTGCAAATTGTTGATTTCAGTCCTGGTTTCCTTCCCATCACTGTTGGCTTCCTGTACATTTTCCTTTATTTCACTTTGTATAGCCTTCATGTTTTCCTCTATTTTGTGACCACACTCAACCATTTCTGTGAGCATCCTGATTAGCAGTGTTTTGAACTGTGCATCTGGCTATCTCTTCGTTGCTTATTTGCATTTTTATGGAGCTTTGATCTGTTCTTTCATTTGAGCCCTTTTTTTTGGTCTCAGCGTGCCTGTTCCATAGTAAGGGGCAGAGCCTTAGGTGTTCCCCAGGGCTGGGCAATCCCTGCACTGTGACACTGTGGGGGGGGGGGTCCAAGAGGGAAAGGTGCTGCTTGCTCTGCTCTCTGTTGGATTTCAGTCACTTCCCTCACTATCCACAATCAAATTGGGCCCTTCTGGTGCTGATTCCTGGGTGAGTGGGTTTGTGTACGTTCTAGAACCCTGTGGGTCTCTCCAACGAACTCTCCTGTGTGGCTGGGAGTTTCTCCCGCTGCCTCAACCCCCCACAGGTGTTTTCAGTCAGAGGTTTTGAGGCTTTATTTCCCTGCACTGGAGCCCTGGGTCGCTTTGTCTCTCTTGCTCCCCAGTTGTTCCTCCCAGTTTATCTGCATGTGAATGTGGGACCTCCGTCCACTAGCCACCACCTTCCCCGTCCCAGGTCCTCCAGCTGCCACCTCGCCACAAGTCCTGTCCACCGGATCCCCATCTCCACCCCTCCTACTGGTCTGGATGAGTGTTTCTTCTTTAACTCCTTGGTTGTCAGACTTTCGTACAGTTAGATTTTCTGGCAGATCTGGTTGTTTCTTGTTTTTAAATTTGTTTGTTGCCTGTCTTTTGGTTATTTAAGGAAGCACAGTGTGTCTACCTATGCCTCCATCTTGGCCAGAAGTCCTAAAAACCACTTAAAATGTAGAAGCCATTCTTAGCTGGCCGGCTCCCCTTCTAAAGTTGAAAAAGTGTTGTGCCGTGAGTTACTGCTTCATAGGATTATGGTTGAGAGACAGGTGACTTGCTGTGTAATATGACTTTGCCACCTAATAGCTGTGACAGTTTAGGCAAGCTGTTTGATCTCAGTTCTTTGTGTACAAAATTGACACCATAATTTCACCTGCTGAAAAGCCTGTTGTGGATATTACTGTACTCCAGGGACTCTGTGAAGCACATCTTTGATATCTCCAAACTGGTGTTTATCTTTCAATTGACTGTGTTTTTAAATTGTTGTTGGCCAGGAGTCAGCCATAGCGTATCTGTTACTCCCTCTCCTCCTACGAACCTGTCCACAGCTTTGCACATTGTTGTACATTTTTTACTTCAAAGCAACATCTAACAAAACTTTTCTCCAAGAGATTTCTCCCAGGACTCAGAGGAAAAGGGGAGGTGGGCCTATCTTAGAAGTCACCCGGAATAGACGTCCAGGAGATGTCCTGTGCATGTTAGTTCTTGATTTATTTCATCGACATGTTATCAGAAACTTTTAAAGGATAAGCTCCTCCAAAGCGCAGTGACCTGTCATTGGTCCAGGAACTGGCACGTGAACCCCAGTGTTTCCATCAGCGCATCCTGGAAGGGCCATGTTAGGAGATGATGTGACCTCTGGCTCTTGTCTGACAACTTTCCATTGACATCTGGTGGAATTTGGGAAGGCTCCGGCACCACAGCGTTCAGGCTGGGTGCCGGGAACTTAATGAGAGCCCCAGGGATGAAAATGACGTTGTCTTCGAAGAGGTGTATCACCAACACCCTCCACTGCACAGAAGGTGTTGTTATGTGGGGGCCGGGGGAGGGGGCTGACGTCAAGGATTCTGAGTCAGAAAAAGCCACTCAGAAGAGTCGATCCTGCATGTGAAGAAGTTCTAGAAGTTCTAGGAAGAAATTCTAGTTTTCAGGACTTTCTAGGAACTTCCTAGAAGTTCTGTTCTACAGTATTTCAGCCAGTTTTTTGGTATGTTTTTATTTTCATGTAGTATCTGAGTGGTTTATGACCCCCCCAAAAATCTGTCTAAATAAGTACTAAAAAATGCTTTGAATACTTAACAGAATGAACGCAGTGTTAAGAAAAGACTGTATCATCATTTAATCCGCAGTGTTTTTTCTTTTTTGTGGTTTCTAAGACAATGGCCTGTCTTCTGTTCTCTATCTTCAATCTGTTGTAACACAGTAAATGAGGTTAAGCTCCCAGATCAGAGCCCTGGATAAAGTAGGAAACAGGCTTTGCTGCTTTTACAAAATACCCTGAAATAACGGGACTTGACCATCCGGAGGGAAGCAGTCCACTAGGGGTAGGGTGATCCTCTGACACCTCCTCACTGCTCTGGGTCTCCCACCAGCAAGAGCGGCGGTGGGGCAGGTGGCTGGCGTACCTTTCTCTCGGCCGCACAGTCCTCCTCTCCTTCTGGCCATTGCTCACCTGTTGGCCAGAGGTTGGTCACATGAGTGTGGGCAAGACTGGGAAAGTGGTCTCTAGCTGGGTAGCCATGTGGAGCTAAACCTCAGGATTATGTGTGCTCCGGCCCGCGGAGCAATCAACTGGGGCTCGACCACCTACCTAGAACAAATGAGTTGGGGGGACAAGAGGCACAAAGAATGGCAGCAAGACAAAAGATTCTGATCAAGCTGCAAACTTAATTTTTCCGAACTGGGTATATATATAGGGGGGGGAGGGAGAGGAAGGAGATTAGGTTGCTTGCTATTGGCTAGCTTGAGACAAAGAAGGGCCCGCTTATTGATTACTTGGGTGCAACTGGTACTCGTGGACACCTCATGTGCCTGTAGCTGATTGGCTTGTGGAGCGCATGCACACCTCATGTACCTGCAGCTGATTGGCTCGTGGAGTGCACAGGTTCCTGTAATCAATGCAATGTTTTTAGCTAGAAGCCAGGTGTAAGGTTCCCAACATATGTGATTTAAAAAAAATAAGAAAATGTATGCAAGTATTCATTGGAAGTACCCAGTAATGTAGCATCATTAGCAGCTTTGTCATTACTGCTGTTACTGTTCTGTAAAATGTATCCACTCCTTGCCAGAGTGGATACACTCTGGAATATTGAGGTTTATTAAACGTTCCACGGTGCTCCCAACCTGCACTCTCTCTTGGAATACTGATGGCAGTTTTGGAGGAGGCTGTTGGGGAAATCTTTACTACATTTATTCACAGGTACCTCTTTTGCCTTTGAAAAGGTTGAAATATAGAATATTATTAATAAATAGGCTCAGCATTCAGGGATGCACTTAAAATGGTAGTTTTTAACAACATTGATCAGCTCCTGCCTCTCAGGCTCTTTGGCTGCAAGGGAGGCTGAGGAATGTGGCCGTTATTCTGGCGGCCTTGTGCCCAGCTAACCCACATTACAGATGGCTCCCAATGTAACTTCTAGAACTGCACAGGAGTGAGGACCCAACTCAGTCCAGATTAGCAGTCACGGAGGCAGGGACACAGCACAGCACGTGGCCCTCAGTCACGCATGATGGACAGGAGACTTGAGTGCTCATTTATAAGGCGATTTGTAGATTTTTCACATGTAGTCTTGTTTATTCAACACAATAACATAGTCATTCACTGGAAATTAGGTTGCTTTATCCCAAGTGTTTAGAAACAAAATCTTCCCAGGTTGCATAGTCTCGTGCCTCCCTATTCTGTTGCTTCTAGCCAAGTTGGCATAGAAAGGCTCACCCCAGTTGAGTTTCCAAGCCCTTAAACGTTTTCTGAGCATCCCCCACCCCTAGTCGACCCACTCAAGGGCAGTACCTTCCAGTTACGCACATCAGCTTCCTCTCTGAAAACTTGGAGGAGCTGACTCATGTCTCTTTGCCTTTGGTGGTTTATTTCTCAAGATATTTGGCTAGAACTTCACCTTGCATTTTTTCTGAAAGTTATGTGTGTGGAAGACCTCGTCAGAGACAGAAAACAAAGTTTAAAGAGGGTTAAACACCTAAGCGTGGGCACTGCCTTGGTGGAGCCTTTTGTCTGTTATTGTGGGGGGTGGGGGTGGAGAAGCCAACTTGTTATGCAAGTGAGACACGTTCCGAAGGGATGGTTGAAGGGATGGTTGTCACGTCGGTCTCTGAAATTGCTCTTGCTCGTTCCAGAAGGCTGCAGAAAGAGACCTGCACCACCTTATCAAGTTCCGCCCTGCTCAGAGCTGGCACCCCAGCGGTGCTGAGTTGCAGGAGGCCCCTGCTGGGACTTTCAGGAGGTCCAAATGCACTGTGCAGGGCCCGGAGGAAGGAGGCACTCTCTCCCCAAGAGACCTAGGAGAGTGTCAAATTCGGGTGCATCTCGTGTTTCTGCAGCACTGCCTTCCCCTTCCCTCTGCTCCCTTCTCATTCCGTCTCTGAACTCTGGGACCCACAGGAGTTTGTCCGGACCCACCACCACGTCTCCAATTGATGTGGGAAGCTTTGGAAAACCTTTGTTCACCCAAAACCCCAGGCACCCTGGGAGAGCAATAAGGCCGTCTGGGAAAAGCAAACAGCAGGATGGTCACAAGGACTGGGACTAGCATCCCCGCTGATAGAACTAATTTTCACAATTAGCCTTTGTACTCTGCTTCTGCCCCGTAGATAGAACTAATTACCGCATTCCGCTTCTGTATCTCGCTTTGCTACGTAGACAGGAAGACCCCATAGGCTATATAAACCCCAAGAATCCTTTGTTCGGGGCTCAGAATTTGGAGACTGACCCCCTGGGCCCGTGCACATTAATAAACCTCGTTCCCTCCGAGTCTGGTTGCTTCGTTTTCCTGTAACACAATGGCAAGCCCCTCCCCCACCGTCTTCATGACCCACCCTCCACCAACATCCGCTTTCCCCCAGGACCCCAGACTTTTTCTGGAGGGTGAAGGGACTGTAGTAGAGGAAGGGGATTAGTCCAAAAAGAAACCCAAACTTTTCATGACCGTAAACTTGGAAAATACAAGAGAAAAATTCAGCCCTAGAAAATTACTGTTAACATCTAGTTTGCTCACCTCTGCTCATTTTTAAAATCACATTGTCGTGCGTTGTTAGCATTTCGCGGTTTCATTGCTCTCCTGCCCCCCCCCACTTCCCGCACTTGAAGCACAGCCTCATGTGGTCCAGTTATTGTCACTCACAGTGACAGACACCGAGGAAATGGGCTGTGTCCGTCCTGTCCCGTCACTAACAACACGCCGTGTGTTGTTTTTCTTTCTCCATGTAGAGAAGTCATTCAGAATTCTAAAGAAGTTCTGCGTTTGTTACAAGAGAAAAACCCCGCCTTTAAGCCGGTTCTTGCTATCATTCAGGTAAGCTGAGAAGGTGGCTCTGCCCTGCAATTTTAGGACGCCTCTCAATTTAGAAGATAATTGTCCACGAAAGACCAGCTGCATTTCTTGTCACAGACGCACCTTTCGGGCTCCATGGAAGGAAGAGTGGGCTCGGCCAGAACTGCTTTCCTCTGCCCTTCCTTTGGTCCTTTGCTCGCGCCCCCCCACCCCCAGGCTCCAGGTTGGGCACTGCTCTGCCTGAGCGCGTCCTGTCTTCCCTGAGTCTTTGTCTTTGGCGTGGTGGCTTTCAGAGGTCAGGAGGCAGGCACTCACGTGACACAGGGTTTACCGTGTACACCCATTCGCGCTTATCACGGGATTCCACGTGAGACAGGAAGAGCTCCCCCAGTGGTTGCTGAGGCACGGTGTTGGGTGATCTTTTTCTTATTCATCTTTTTGTATTGTTATTCTGTTACAGTTTCCCCCCCTCTGCCCTCCTCTGCCCAGCCCACCCCACCCCTGCTCCCGCAGTCAGTCCCCACACCGTTGTCCACGTCCGTGGGTCATTCATGCATGTTCTTCGTCTAGTCCCCTCCCCTTCTTTCCACCATTATCCCCCCACCTGCCCTCTGGTCACTGCTGGTCTGTTCCATGTTTCCATGCCTATGGTTCTGTTTTGTCAAAGACCATCTGATCTCGCCTTTGAGAGGTGTTGGGCAATCTTACTACCAAGTGTTTGAAATCCTGCCATAAGTTCACGGGGCCCAAAGTCACCACGGGTCAGAAGTGCTTCCGCATTCCAAGCATGTCTCTTGCCCGTGGCCCCTTCGCGTCCAACTACAGTTGGCACCGTGTGCCGTCCTCGCTGGCACACCCATGCGATGACAGGTGCGGGGAAGTAACAAGGTGAGCCAAGCCTGTAAACTAAAACGGCAAACAATTGGACAGCTGCTGTTGCTTTTGGCATACACTAAATATGTCAAAATAGCAGTGTCTAGTTCACCGACACTGTGATTTCCGAGACTGTAGCGCTTTGCTTAAGTCACTTGCACTCCTTGGGGTCTGTCTCCACGTCCCCTACAAAGGCAGGCCAGCAGGAAGAGTGGACAGCAAAGTGGGTCTGGGAGCCTGGCTTTCCTGCCACTCTGCTCTCCACCTACCGGCCAAAGTCATCCAAGCCCTGTCTTTGGTGTCCTCGTTTAGGAAGGATGCTGGTTATGCGGCTGTCTATGCCTTCGGAGGATTGTTATTTGAAAGAAAGCAACATAATTGGAAAGTCAGAAACTGATACGTTGATAAAGGCCAGCCATTAGTCCCCTTTTGTGAGTGATAAGGTTTCTTTCTGGACACTTTCCTGATCATCTCTGTAATTAGAGCAGCTGTAATCACAAAATTGGTCTGTTTTGTTGTGTGCCTTTGCAAGGTGTTCCTAGTTACATTCTGCTTCTCCCTCCCCTCTCCCAAGGCAGGTGATGATAACTCGATGCAGGAAGTAAACCAGAATTTGGCAGAGGAGGTGAGGATTGTTGCTGTTCAAAAGTTCATTTTCATTTTTTGATGACGCAGTCCCTCGCAGTGACGGAGTAACCTCGCATTCTCTTTGCAGGCTGGCCTGGACATCACTCACATTTTCCTTCCCCTGGAGAGCGGCGAGGACGAGGTGAGCGCAGCGGTGCCCGGCGCCCGGGGACCCTGGCGGTGCCTTTCTCTCCAGACCGAATGCACCTGTCAGCAGCATCTCTCAGTGATGGTTGGACCAGATCAAGCCTTTTCCTGCCACTGAACTCGTGGAGCGAAGCGTCCCTTTTCCCCTCTGGCGCAAATGCTCTCTCTCTAATTGTCCCTTACCCCGTGTTTCTGTCGAAGACACAGCCTCTGACGCAGTGACTTTGGTTGTTTCTTCAAGGCGGCAGCAGGGCCATCTAGTACAAATTGAGCACCAGTTCTGGTTTTGCTCTGTCCTGACAGGCTGTTTGCCCCTGGGCCATTCCTTTGGCTTGTCCGGGTCACAGTTGCCTTATTAATAATAAATAAGGAACAGGACGAGCTGATTCTCAGCATCCTTTATAGGCTAATGTTCTTCAGTGGCAGCTGAGAAACACACACACACACACACACACACACCCGCATAGGAACCCTTTGCTACTGTTGCTGGTGATTTCCTGGTTCCCTCCCAAGGGAAGTAACAGCCTTCACAAGTGTCATCTTGTTACAGAAACCCACCTTGGGTTCTTGTTACTCTAGGGGTCTTTTGCCTGCCACCAGTAAGACCTGTGGCTCTCGGGGCTGGCTTTGACTCAGCAGTTACTTTGATCGCTTCATAACCACTCTTGCTCGTGAGGGTGGTTTGAGACCCACAGGTGCTCAACAGCCCTTGAGAAGAAAGAACTGTGGCTCTCAATGCCAGAGTTTGGAAAAAAAGAAAGGAGCTATTTATCCAGAAAGTGATACAAGTTTAGAATAATGGCAGAATTCTGCCATTAAATCTCAAAGTCCCTTTTAAACACCCCCACACACCCACACACACACACCCCACCACCCCACCCCCGCCCACCTCCCCTTGCCAGACCAGGCCAGTCAGGGGTACCATATCTCAGGAAAAGAAATGGAAGTCTGTAGCTCAGCGAGGCTCCCATTCTTAACCCAAACCCGCATGGCACTCCCTCATGGCTGGCCAGTGGGAGTCCTCTTGCATCCTTTCAAACCACGTGGCCAAGAGCCCGCATGGTTGCTGCACCCCGCTTTCCTGCTTTCCAAGCTGTGTGGTCAGGAGTGCCCCCTCTCTGCTCCCGAACCATTTGGTCACGCCCCAGCACAGCTGCTGCGCCTGGGTCTAAATCCTAGTGGGCACCTCCCTCCGTAGCCCCATTTCCAACTCCGCCCACACTGGGACAGGGTTACTGCTACCACCTGCTCCTTGCCAGTAGTCTGGTTCTCTCTGCCCTTCTCAGCTGCCATGGTCAGTCCAGGCAAGTGTGGCCCCGTGAGGCAAGCTACCTCCAGGCAGCTCTCAAGGCAGGCGCAGGAAGCCCCTCTAGCTACGTTGCATTGGTGTCAGTATCACAAATATTGATGCCTGTCGAACCAGTCAGTATTAACAGCATGCAGAGAAATGTGTTGTCCGTTTGCAGAAGGACACCCATTGTCTGCAGTAGAATCTGCATTTCTTTAGGTGGTTTGGCCACTGGTGTTGATAGCCCTTAGCTTTCTTTTTTTCTGTGACTTATTTTTTGACAAGGTGTCATTTATACCCTATTTTTCTTTTGAAATTCTGATAAATGTGAATGTATGTGGCGGTGTTATTGTGCTGGAAAAGAGTCAGGATGTTAATTTATTAAGATTTTGTTGTTGCCTGTCTCACATCCTCGTTACCAGTAGCTGTGGTGCCCTGACCTCATTCTGGACTCTATCTGGACGTCACCCACTGTGGCCAGCCCCCGCCCGCATCCCTGTGTTGGCCAGCTCTGTTCTTCTTTATGTTGCTCACCAATTTCCCAAGGTCATTATTACTGGCCCTGTCTGCCCCACTAGAATATAAGCTCCGTGAGGGCAGGAGTTTTGCTCTCCAACTCTCCATCCGTTATGTGAACTGGTCAAAGTAGGTGCTGAAAACACTCAGCATTTTTTGAATAAATGAAAGAATGATGAATGAATGAGAAGATTTTCTTTCTGAATTTTGTAACTTTTTTAAAAGATTTTATTTATATTTTGAGAGAAGGGAAGGAGAGAAAAGAAACATTGACGTGCGAGAGACACGTTAATTGGTTGCCTTTTGTGTGCCCCAACTGGGGACGTGGCCCGCAACCCCGGCGTGTACCCTGACCAGGAATCAATCCGGTCACCTTTCAGTTCACAGGTGGAACTCAGTCCACTGGGCCACACCAGCCAGGGCTGAATTTTGTCCAATAAATAGCTTTTTCTTCTCTTACCATAGTGATGTCTGCTAGACAGTGAAACAAAAATGATAAGCCAGTACTTCCTAGTAAGATTCGCATCTCTCTTACTTATGAACAACTAGTTTGTTAAGTGAAATGAATCACTTCTCTCCTGGCATAAAATAGGGAGAGAGAGGACAGAATGTTGCTTTGTCACACCTTGACATTCTCTCGCTGTTCTATTAGCTTCTCAAACTACTTTAGTTTTTCTCATAAATAGTGAATTATTTTAGTGTTTCCAGTAAAAAGGAGATATCTGTGCTTACAGTTCATCCGTCATATACCTTTGGAAATGGTTTCTATGTGCCGCTCGGGTACAGAGAATGTGAGGGCCAGAGGGACGGGTCTTGGGTACCACGATTAGTAAGCGTTTGTTGAACGCGCTGCGTGTGCAACACAGGCCTGGCCAGGCCGGGTGGGAGGCTGGCGATCCATGTTTCCCGGCCTCTCTGACAGTCCGCGGTCTGCTGGGCTTAGTGGGATTGCGTTGCCTGTCTCATCTTTACTAACTGTTGAGCTTTCATTCTGTTCTGTTCTCTTTTGTTCTGGCAGAGAGCAGAGTGATAAGAAAGACTGAGAACTCATTAAAAAAATTAAGCCAGGCTTTTTTTTTTTTTTTTTTTTGCGCTTTTACAAACATGGTGAAAAGGGAAAATAGACTTCTTCATTGTGCTTCACACCAAGGCTTCCACAAAGAGTAAAACATAAACTATCATAGATGCATTTTTATGAGTCTGTCTTTTGCATAAAGCTTCTTTTATTGGCTCTTATTGCTGTCAAACAGCTTTTATTTGTTTTTCCCTGTTAGATTATAGATGAAATCTTGAAGATTAATGAAGACACCAGAGTACACGGCCTTGCTCTTCAGATCTCAGAGAACTTGTTTAGCAACAAAGTCCTCAATGCCCTGAAGCCAGAAAAAGATGTGGATGGGTAAGAAAATATAAGAGAAAACAACTCAATGTTTGTTAAATGTGATTTTAAAAAAGATATTACTTATTTATTTTTAGAGAGAAGGGAAGGAAAGGAGAAGGAGAGGGAAACATCAGTGTGTGGTCGCCTCTGCTGTGCGCCCCCTGCTGGGGACCCAATCTAAAACCCAGGCATGTGCCCCGACTGGGAATTGAACCAGCGACCCTTTGGTTCACAGGCCAGCCGTCAGTCCACCGAGCCACACCAGCCAGGGCTTTACTGCAATTTTTTTATTCCACTGTTTCATCTTTGTCAGTAATTAAGAGAGAAAAGAAATCATCTTGATGTTTAATATCATTTAAAAATTTAATGTCATTTAACTATTTGGGGAGTTTGGGGGCTTCCTAAACTTTGTCTAAGAAAACTATTCCGTATTTTAGAAAACACACTTGCCCTTTGGTGGTGCAGAGTCAGAACACTCACGGTCACCCCGCCTCCCAGGGACCACGGCAGAGTGTCCTGACGGGCAGCTACTCCTGGAAGCGAATGGCTTTTATTTCTCCCACATTAATTTATGTTCTTTTTTTTTCTCTTTTAATTGTTCAATATTTTTTCTTTTTTTAAAGTTGTTGTTCAAGTTAGTTTATTTTCAATTAATTAATATATCTGACCAGACATCACTGCAGAGTAATCCGTGTAAATGTTGGGCTCGTGAGCTTTGGCTGGCGTTAACTTGGGTTGCCTTGTTTTGGTTTCAGGGTGACAGATGTGAATCTGGGGAGGCTGGTGCGTGGGGACGCCCATGAATGTTTCGTGTCACCTGTGGCCAGGGCTGTCATTGAACTTCTTGAAAAGTCAGGTATGGAGCTTCCTCAGAAGTGCTGCTGTTTGCTGTGTATTGGTATTCACATTATTTTTTATTAAGGATTTTTTTCTAGAATGTCAAGATTCTTATTGAGATATGGGAGTGTGATAATTCAGTGTCAGCTTTATTTAAGTCATCTTTTGAGAGATAGGAATGACGACAGAAGATTTTTCTAATAAGATTAACTGTATTGCAGTTTTAAAGAGAAGTCAGTAAAGATAATCTTTTTAAACAAATTCTCCTGAAAACAGTCAAAATAACCACAATGAAAAATATGTCTTGTTTTAACTTCTCAAATCTGTCAATATGTATACCTATGTAAGACTTATATTTAAGACTTAAATGAGGAAGCTGTTAGATATAGTTTCAGGTATAAAGACCTAGGTTGAGATTTAGCAGTGAGCAATATCTCTGAATAATCTGTATTTTAATTTTTATCATTTTCCTTTTGATCTTGCACTTTTATGTCAGTGACATGAACATGAATAAATTCTTTTTTGTTATTAAAGTTAATAAATAAATTATTGCTAGTGTTTCATATTTTTAAGAACTGAGTACATAAAAATTCAACTAATTAAATTTTTCTCTAGTACAGCTCAAGTAAAAAAAAAAAGAAAGAAAGAAAAAAAGAGGCAAATGCCCCTCCTCTCCTGAACAAGCAACAATCACACAAAAATTCCAAAATATATACCAAAGTTCAATTAGAAGGTTAACTTTCAAGACATATCCTAGCACGTTAGCCATTAAGCTCAAATCTGAGATAGTTCATAGAGACAGTATTTTTTCATCCTTTGGATTATTGGGATAATGATTCTTAGCCACTTGCCCCAACATTTGCAAAGAAAGAGTAAGTTATGGCTTAGTCATTGTAGGTTGGTGCTCACAGGGCCAAGGTCATTTTTTCTCCCGTGAAAGCTGTACAGTGGGAAGGCTCCGACATTTGGATTGTGATACTGATTTTCATTTGGTGGGCAGGTGTCAACCTAGATGGAAAGAAGATCTTGGTGGTAGGAGCCCACGGGTCCTTGGAAGCCACCCTGCAATGCCTGTTCCAGAGGAAAGGGTCCATGACGATGAGCTCCCAGTGGAAAGCCCCTCAGCTTCAAAGCAAGGTGAGCATCATGCCTGTTAGAAACACAACCTCAAACGCCTGTATGAGAAGAGGGGAAGGGCCACAAGTACAGAAGCTAAGTATTCGATGCAAGAAGTTGGGGAAGAAGCAGAAAACTCTCAAATGATAGAAATGATCAACAGCATAGGTGAATGAAATAAAAAAACAAATATATATGATAGATTTTCAACAAAACCAAAAGTGGATTCTTGGAAAAGTCTAGCAAAATAGACACACCATTAGCCAAAATAATCAAGACAGAATGAGAGAAAAGCAATGTTAAGAATGAACAGGGGATTAACATCAGAAAATCTATTGCTGTAATTCACCACGTCATCAGATGGAAAACTATATTCTCACCGTGATAGGTGAAGAAAAGTTGTCTGATAATCTAGTACCTTTTTTTTTTCTAGAAAAACCTGTTAGACTAGGAATTAAAGGAATTCCTTAATTTGATAAAAACATCTGTAAAAAGTTAGAGCAAATGTCTCATTTAATTGTGAAAAATCATTTTAATGTTTAATATCATTAAACAATATCATTAGAAACATTTCTTTTAAAATTGGGAAAGACAAAGGGTACCTTTATCAGCACTCCTAATCGGCACTGTGTAGGAATTCCTAAACAAGCTGTAATGTAAAGAAAGAAAGAAAACTCATAATAATTGGAAAGGAATACACCCAACCGTCTTTAATCCTAGATGATATGTTTATATTAAAGCCCAAAGAGTCTTTTAAGAACTATGAGAATTAATAAGAATTCAGCCAGGTTCTTGGATATAAAATGAACTTGCAAAAAAAACCAACTGCATTTCTAAATAATACACCCACAGTTAAAACATTAAATTAAAAAAATAGTTTCTAATACCACTGAGAATATAAGGTAAGTGGAAATAAATTTAACAAAAGTTATTTCTGACATTTTGAAAAAAAATTGTATAATTTTGACGAAGCTCATTAGGAAGACCCAAATAAATCCATGGCTAAGAAGACTCGATACCTTCACGATACTAATTCTCCCCAAATTAATCTATAAATTTGAATAAAAAATCCCAACATAATACTGTTTTGTAGAATTTGACAAGTACTGATTCTAAAATTTATATGGAACCCCACTGACAAAAACAAGACGATTTTGAAAGAAAACTAGGGCTGTGAATATCGACATGGAAGGACTTCGTAAAACAGCATTTAATGGAAAAAAGCAAGAAGGATATGTTTAATTTTATGAATGCCACTTATATAAGATCTAAAGGCAATACTGTCTAATACATAGTTTTAGGGCTACATGTGTATGAAAAGTAAAAAAGCATAAAAAAGTGAATAGGAAGTATGAACAAAAGTCAGGAAACCATTTACAGACGTGGGTGTAGATGGAAAGGAAACTTGGGGCCCTTCTATTGCATTGGTCACGTCCATTTTCTTAAACTGGGCGATGGATGAGTGTCCAGGTGTGCCATTATTTTTTTACAGTTTCACATCTCGCAGTTTTTAATTACAAAACATTCCAATGTGTTTCATAAATACCAAGCAAAGAGCACATTAAGTACAATAAATCAGTGCAGAACAGAATCTGAAATGCATTCTGCTGGGTGAGAATGAAAACACACAAGTCGCAGTCCTGCCCTGGGAGGCTAGCGTCTCCTCCGAGAGACAACACCCCCCCCCCCCCCCCCCCCCACCCCCCCACCCCCTCCCCCCTCAGCTGGGGCCCGAGTTTGGTCTTGGAATTAAACCCAAACCAATGTGTTATTTTTTTCCTTAGTAGTCACCACATGGTGGCAGCCTAGTCCAGAAAATTCAAGGGCAACGCTTTGTAATTTGGAGCCCAGATTTCTTGATTTGGAAGCATAGTGGAAGAGGAAAATAAACCTTGCCCTGAACTGAACAGCTGCGGTGAAAGGGAGAAAAATGCCTTCACTGGCGATTTGAATGTTTTCACAGCTGTGGCAGATACTTTTGCTGGTTGTATCTGTATTTTTGAAAAACAAAGACATCTTTTAAAGGACTTTTTTATTACGGAAATAAATCACCTGACTTCTCTGGGATAAATCTCATTGTAACTCTGAGAACAATTAAGTAGCTTCACTCCCTAGAGAATCTGGACGTTGGGGAACATTTCTGTTTTCATAAATCTGAGAAGATTCTCTCCAAGAGCTCATGTTGCACACACGTTTTGTTTGCTGAGCCTTTGGTATTTATAACAGCACCGCCATGAATCTTAGAGCCTTTCAACTCTCACTCTTTTTATTGCTTCATCTTTGTCGTGAAAAATATGGTGAGAAAGGTTCAGGGCTCCCCATACTTGTCTTTGAAGTGCATTCGGAGTCTGGTGTTTGGCCCCTATACCTGGCCTACTTCCTGGTGACGGGCTCCCATCCTTGACTGCGAGGTCAAACCTGTACCTTCCCATATTTCATACTAGTACTTAGCACGTCACCGGCCACTTACCTTCCTGCCAATGTGTCTGCATACTTGTGCCTGACCTTTGACTTTTCCCTATTTGTGTACATTGATAGGACTTGTCTCAGAGGGTTAGTATGCTCTCTGCAGACCACAGTCCAAGGGTGGCAGCTGGCGAGGTAACAAAGGGCACCCAGGCACAGGGAAGTGTCCTGGGACACCAGGTGGTTCCGGGCTGTGTCCACTCCTGCCACATCCTTGGAAAAGCATCACTGTGAAAAACATCAAATGGATAAAATTTGACAGATTTGGGTTTCTGTCTTCTAACTTCATCAACAATGCATTTAAGTGCATTTTAAGATTCTTGTCCATTTAGCTCCTCAGTCTTAGCGGTGATGTGTTGGGGAAAGAAAAGGACAAGCAAAGGCTTGTAGCTATTAGGTTGAAGGAAGTTATCTTTGAAAAGTATTTCTTAACATGCTTATTTATATTTGACATGAGACAAGAATCCCTGTTGGCCATCTAGTCGGGGGGCTCCAAAGCCAAGGACATGAGGCGTCTCTGGGTTGGGGTGACCGTGTAGCGCTAGAGTCCTATCTACCACCTTCTAAACTCCATGCAGCCTTTCAGGTTGGGGATGACCTTGACGTAATCGCAGCCTGTTCAGCCAGGAAGAGCTGCCTTCGAGGGTGCGGGTCAGGCCCAAGTGTCCTCAGAAAGCACTAGATAGGGCATAGGCTTCAGGGACAAGCAGCTCTGGGTTCAAGCCTTGGCTGATGCTTACCTTCTGTGACCTTGTCTCCTCGTGTGTAGAATGAGGATCATGACACTCCCTACCTCCTAGGGCTGCTGCAAGAGTTCAATAACATGCATGTTTGCTCAGCACAGTCCTTGGCACCTGTGAATATGCACAGTAACAGAGGTAACCACTTGGCTGTTGTTAATGGTGAGTCGGGAAAGACCCTGGCAGGGTTCGCCATCCAGATTTGTAATTGATCACAATATAGGAAGGCAGGTGGGTCGGTCAGGTTGCAAGGAGGTAAACCCCCGTGGCGTCCAGGATCCCTCATTGGAAGCCTGCTATACATGCTTCCACTTCATGGCCGGGGTTGCAGGGAAGTGGCGAGTCGCTCTGTCTGTGGGTTTCCAACAGTATGTGGAAGCCACAGGACCTAAACCAAAGCAAAATCAGCAGACAGTGTCAGAGAAAGAGTGGGTGCCCAGCTTCAGCCAGGCCCCTCCCGCTCTGGTCCTCGCCTTTAATTAACATACCACCGTGCCCTTTGCTCCCCATCTGCTCCCCAATGTCTGCCTTCCCATGATTCCCTTGTTATGTGGAAGTTGCTTTATTTCATATTATGTCTGCTGGGGGTTTCTGGTTTACCAATTACTTCCTCCCAGTCCTACAATTTTGAGGAACAATATTGACTCAGTTAAATAGAAATGGATCCTTTGTCTATGAGCCTGCCTAAATCTAAGGATATTCTTTGGATACCAATTATGCATTAAATCTCTGTGGAGCCTGAGTGTGAGGAATTGAGATTTGCCTTTTTAGAGTGTTACAGAAAACAGTAAGATTTCTTTATTTGGTAGCTTTAGAGCTTATGCCCAATGAGTGTGTCATTGACAATTAAGCATCAATTTCCTGCTCTGTGTCTGAGTTTCGAGAGATGCGTTATGCATTTATGTGTGGGGGCGGGGAGAATGTCTGGGCATGTGTCCAAATGCGCCCCAGGCTGTGGAGCATCAGATGTCAGCAAGCAGAGCACCAGGCGTGATGCCTTTACAGAGGGCTGAGAAATAACCTACTTCCTCCGGCCCTGCACTCAGCTTCCCAGGCTTCTAGAGCAGAGTGATGTCTCTGTGGGGATGGGACAGAGCCATTGTCCAGTGAGAATTGTCCTAGGTTTAGAGGTAACTCCTTCCTCACCCTAATGAGTTGTTCTCCCTGGTGCCAAAAGCAATCTGAAATGAGAATGTTCCGCATTTCGCCCCTAGGGGGCAGAGTGGTACCCTCTCTAGGGAAGAGGGTGCCGGCACCGGGTGAGCGGTGGTGCCTGCTTGCTCTCCGGCATCCGTATTAGACGCAGCTGCACGGTGGTGGCCGCAGCCTCCAGCTCTGACCGGTCCCGTCAATCCCTGCTGCGTGTATGAGAAATAACCTAGAAATAAAAGAACTGCTTTATTTCTCTTTTCTCAGAGGATCTCATTTCTCCTTCTGAGCACAGAGACCCTCAAAACTAGAACAGAAAAAAGAAAAAATACAGGTCTTTTACATTTGAAGAATCAGTGCGTCTTTTTTTTTTTTTTTTTTTTTTTTTGGCAAAGCTAAATTATCACAAAGTCATTCCCAGTTTAAATGCAGAGCATAGCATGGTTTATAAAAAGCTTTTTAAAGTGATCTGGAAAATTTTAAACATATCCGTATTATACATATGAAATCTTGGAAAAAGAATAATCACTTTTCCAAGATTGGTGGGGGGAACCCTACCTTTTAAACTGGACTAGTGAGTTACATGATAATTCTTTTTTTTTTAATTTATAATTTTTAATGCATTTGACTTTTAAATCTTGTAGGAAAAAAAAAAGGCGTGGTTAT